AGGCAAAAAAAGAGAGAAAATGGAAGAGAACGGTCGGTTTTTCATCATCAGAATACAATAATAAAGAGCGGGAAGAGAAAAGAACGACTGGACGCCCAAAACTAGAGACCGAACAATCCCCCATCTGACGGCGGGGGGCTAAACGAACATTTCGCTCGTTTAATTGGCTTCGGCTTTCCGATCAAATCGCTTCTTTTCCAATGGGAATGCCTTCTGATTTGAATAGGGAAATCAGTGAAAACATCCGTGATTAAGGGAAAAGGAAATCAGAGTGATTGGGAAGTTGTGAGGGGCTTCAGGGTACCGTGTAATCCGGAAACGGCTGCCCCGCTCGCAAACCAAACCAATCATCCCCTCTAATAGTACCAAAAACAGAGTAAACTTCCTGCTCACCGGCTACTATCCGCACTGAAGCGTGAGAAAATACAAACGTCCAGTAGGTGGTGCTATCGAAAGAACTCCAAAGTTTGGAGGGAATGGGAGCGCTTCAATTCTGTCCAGAGATGCCTATCTTCTCTTCTGCTCCGTCTCACTGCTCCCTCGCTCATTAAAGCGTTCCCTTCTTTTCCAAAATTCCCGAAGGCTTCCGAATTTTGATGAACGAGTTCAGTTGAGCGATGATCTGTCACGGAATGATTCTGGACGATGATGAGCCCGTTAATGACGACAAATGGAAGAATATGATAATTGAGTCTACAGTAATCATTTCTACATCTGTTGGCAGTTCGAAAACAGCAGTTTTCAATGTCACGGACACCTCCGAATCGGCCTTCCCGAGGAGATTCGATTACCGCTTTAGTACATTCCATTCATGATGTTCTTCATGCCTTTTCTGTTCTATTGTGCATCGAAATCTGGCATCAAGGTTAGCGAGGGAACGTTGAAAAGCGAGAGACGCAGACAGTGATCGAGGCTAAACGGTCACCGAATTAATGAGCTGTTCTGATCGAAAAAAGGAAGAATGAGAGGGAAAAGGGGAGAATATTTCGAGGGTTAATCGAATGAAAGGAAACATTCTGGAGGGCTTTCGCGGACATTAACGAACGGAAAGGACACCCACCCATAATTGGCGGGTCCACTGGGACCATAAAGCTTTCGGACCGAGAGTTGCCGCCAAACAGTGGATGCTTGCAATAACTCAAAGATTTATTGGCCATTTGTTGACATCCACCCGTCTGTCATACCATGTAAGATGAGATTTCGCGCGTCATTCTCAACCGCTCATCCGGAAATTACTTGTCGCCCTCACTCACAACAAGAATGATCGTCACAAATTGCAAAACAATTGCATCGACCGGGAATCGAACCCGGGCCGCCCGCGTGGCAGGCGAGCATTCTACCACTGAACCACCGATGCGATGAAAGTTGAAAGCAGCACTCGATTAGACAGCGGCGCCAGCGACCAAAGGGAAGGAATAGACATTGAGAGGGGAAAGGGAGAAATCGACCAGGGACAAACAGAACGGATCGGCCTTTCGGAATGAAGATTAATTGAGTGTCCGTGTAAAAAAGAAGACGATAATCTGATAAGTGATATAGTTTCAATGACAAATTGCGGAGGTCCGGAAAGGGAAGGAAGAGGGTCGTCCTCGCATCAGATATTGGTGCATCCGTCCCCATTCACACTCATTTATCTTCATTTATTCAGAGAAGAACAAAGAAACGACCGATTCGGACGTTTTTGGTCGTCTTTTGAGAAAGAAAAAGATTCAAACAAGGCTCTGTTGCTGGGAAAAGAGAGAGAAAGAGGAAGGGTTCTGATTAGCAGAGGAGTGAATTCACATTATTTGGAAGGGCTCATTAGAGGTGATAGAGATTTCTGATTACAGCGTTCTCCCAAGGGATTGGCAGCAAATGCCTTTTTTCAGGGTTTCACTTATAAAATATAAAATTTAGGACATGACAGAACAGAAATAGTTTGAGAGACTTCTGAGCCGGACCGTGCCGATGTATACCAGTCAAATTTGAAGAAAACCTCTAAGGATGAGTTCCGAATATTGTTGTCCTAGTATTTCACGGAAAAGCCAAGTGAATCCTAGTCGAATCTAGTCAAACAAACGAAACAAACTGGCGAGTAAAGAGAAGCTTTTGAAAGATGAGAATAGTTTACCTATGACACCTATACGAATGGCATCTCCCCGCTCCGAGTAATTGATACGAAGGAGAGTGGTCCCTCTCGGCGGAGCTCATCTCGCATTCAAAAACGGGAGGTCCTTGGGCAAACAAAAAAGAAGAAGAATGCGGAAAACACCGAATGGTAAGGTGTCAGATTTTTTGAGGCGGCGACGAGGTCTCAGATAGATTTCCTTCCGCTTTTGTTGGTTTTGTCATCCGAGATGAGGTGCTTTGCATATTGAATCACAACAAAGAGAAGTACTAAAATAGGGTGGAGAAGAACAAAAAAGCGAGCGAATAGAAGTGGTCAGTCGGCTTCAAATCGAGCAGTTTACGGCCGGGGATCATCACTGTTCGAAGCGCTCCAGATTGCTCAAACGATGACGTGGCGCCGTCACGACTTCTCCGTTCTCTGCGTCTCTCCGTCTCGCACACTCTCTCGCCTCGCCAACAGTTTATGGCTTTTATGCACCGGAGAAACACAAACTAATAAATCTTTGTTACTTTCCTTCGCAAGATGATTCACTTTTATTCGCGGCAAACAAAACGCACGGATTTCGCACGCTTTACAGCCGATTCCTGAATGCTTGTTCATGGCGATTCGGCAGCAGAAAAACGAGAGAGCCACGGGGTTACAAACGCTACCTGACCTATTTCACTCAAATTTCGCGCTACTTCTGGCATATCCCAGCGTAGTGACTCACCCGTTTTGTCGATACGGAGCCTAAACATTTTCGTCATTTTCCCAAAAATATCTGGGGAAATGGGCCGTTTACCATGATGGTTTGTTCACTGAACCTCACTGTCTCCCCTTCGGCGAAAAAAAATTTTTCGCGCGCTTTTTTGCGTGCGGCTCTCAGTGTCGATTTACGGGAGACGGTTTTTCCACTGAAAACTATGTTTTCCCGAGTTTTTGGGATTATGCACAGTTTTCCTTCAAAACTTTAGCCTCACGTTTGTTCATATGACCGATAGCTACAAAATGATCACAGAGTGAGTGCTCGTGTAAAAGTGAAAATTCGAAGAGTAATTTCGTTTTTTAAATTTGGCTTGAAAAAACTAACTTTCGGAAGGTTTGAGAAAACAGTTGACAGAATCAAAAAACAGTTGCCTCACGATTGTTCAGCAGACAAAGGCGGTCATTTTGAGCACAGAGCCCATAAAATGCAAAAATCACTAAGAAATTTCAGTTTCTGAGGATTCGGACTGAAATTCATAGAAAAGTGTAATAATGCGCGCTTTCTTATGGGCAAAACGCTAGGGGGGTCATGCGGTAGAGCGCAAATTCATGTGTAGCGTTTGAACCTCCGTCGAGAGAAATATGAGAATTCAGCTGCTTTTCAGCCATTTCAATAGTATATCTATAAAAGATTTTTGAGAAGATGATGCTGGAAAAACGGATAAATATGCGCGGAGAGAAGGGAAAACAAACAAAACGACGGCTCATCAGGGAAAACTTCTGAACGAGGGACTTAATGTAAGTCACCTTGGAAGCTGTCAGAATGCGTTTACAGTAATCGTCTCAAAAAACGCATCGATCATTGTCTTGTCGGGGCCCGAAATACTTACAAATCCCGCCTCAAAAAGGCGATCCGCTCGTCTCCATTTCGTCTCTTTGACGGGTAATCCGTCCGACAAAAATGACAAATTACCAGCAGGATTACTGAGAAATTCATGTTCGGAAAGAAGTAAAGAGGAACATTCGGAAGGGGGAAGAATCAGAAATTCATTGAAATCCATTCTGGAAGGACTGGAAAAAAGGGAACGAGATCATCAATTTTAAATTTATTTTTAGTTTTTAGTGTAGAAAAAGAAAGAAAGAGGACACTTTGTGCAAACTAAAGAATGTGGGGGCGAAAAGAAGAGGAATTAGGAAGAAGAGAAGTAGGTAAATAGAGTGTTTACCAACTGATTGCCCATCAAAAACCACAGGATTACTGTAGCTCGGACGGTTCCCATCATTCGGACAAACCGACGACATTAAGATGTAAACTTTGGTGGCATCACAAAAAAGTGCGCGGCATTTAGATGCGGGACATCAAAGCGCTGGGGCGGCTCGCGGAGCAGCAGCTGTTGAGGCGGGCCCACCTCGTCGATTTACGATCGATGTTTTTTCGATTCCCGATGAATTATTGGCGTTGTCAGGTGCACACACGGCAAGAAGCCCGCACATTTGACTCGGCCGATCGGACACGGGATTTTATGGGATATCGGGGGGAAGAAATGAAGTGGATGGGGCAGAAATGAGGAGGAGATGATGGACGGAACAAGTGGAAATGGGCTCAAGTGACTGGAGGGACGGAAGCGCCGAGGGCGAGAAGATTGGGTAAATGCAGGAAGTGAACAGAAGAAGATGACGGCGACAAAGCGACTTGGAAGTGTCTGAAACTTGGATCACACTCCCTTGCCCATTTCCGATATCCCCCAACGCACAGTCTGTTCCGATCATTGCACAATTGATTTTTCAAAAGGTCTGATCATTAAATTAACATCCCACGAATGCATAATTCCCTTGTCTCTCCGCTAGTTTCCTCTTTTCATTCCTTTTTCATTCTGACTACAATGAAGTTCCTTTTCCTTTCATTTTTTCTAACAGTATTGTGTTTAACAGCGGTAAAAAAGTTCTGCACTTTCAAAAGAATCCTTATATGATCAGGAATCAGTGGTGCACCTGCATAAGATTGTCCTCGAGCCCATATACAGGTTCACAGACACTTCTGCCAATCCTCCGAAGGCGATTTATTTCACTAAACTTCCGCAATACTTGACGGCCACTCAGAATACTTCTCAATTGAGTTTGTTCCATAAACTCGATCGTTTCATCGCTCTCATTTGCCCGTTCAGATTTATCGCAATACAATGCGGTCCGTGGTCTCACTCAGGAAATGTTCCTGAAAGATTTCAATTGTGCAGTGGATACTTGCCAAGATATTCCCATAAAAGTGGCCGCCGTTTATAATGTGATCGATGCGAACGGACGACTCAAGTTCGAATTGGCGCCGACGTCTTCTGAAACAGTACTCGGGAAGGCTGGATATCTGGCAACTGAGGAGTACGTCGGACTCATCAGATATGATGAATATTACTCTGAAGAAGATGATCGTGAGCGCAGAGTTCGTTTTGAAGTTGAAAAGTTTAGATGTTTTCAGTGTTTGCATATGTGAATGGCAAGTATCCGAATCAGTTCGGTTCGTGTCAGTTGAGAGATTACGGAGAGTACCGTTATAAGTTCGTGAGGACTCTTGGATACGCATTCACTGCCATCACAATCCCTCAAAACCTTCCAATTTATTCGTAATTTCACTTTGTACTCATTCGACACAAGCTGTTTCTTTCAGGATCTTTGGTTTCGACGACGGTCTTCCTGAGCCGACAACCGTCACTACTCCCAAGACCTCGGAGCAAGTCACCTTCGGAACGAATCCAATATGGACAATCCTGAAGAACTCTTTGAACGGCACCCAAGGTCTCGGAGCCATAAACCTTCCGTGGGGTCCTCCAGTGAATGCCACGCCCCTCGAAGAAACGAACGTTTGTCTGCTAACTGGCAACTTTTCGCTGCTCTCTTTGTGCGGGGACGCTGGCCGCATTCTTCAATTCTTCGATAGAAATCACACGTATTTTGGATTCATTGACTTGGTTTACGGAGCAGTGGACACGTACATTTACTCGTACATAGGATATGCTTTCCATTCAGCCGACAACGTCTGTGGCCTGCCTCTTCTTCCGATCAGAGAACTCTATAAGGACGATGTTGGGGTGAGGAAGGAAACGGATTCATAAATAGAGATGTGAATGAGGATTTCAGTATAATGCAGTTGTGGGAGACGATGTCAGTGCTGTCGAGTCGGAAGGATATTATGAAACCGGGAGAATCCTCGGATACACAATAGACTGCAGCAGCGCTTCGAACGGACAAATCATTGCAGACATCCCCGAGTGGCTGCTCTCCTCCACTTCCCATTCTCCGCTCTCCACTCTAACGACGTCTTCGTCGTCTTCTCAAGTCGGTTTCTTTGTCGAACCAATCTATATCGTGTGGCCAACGACATCGGAAGGGATACAGGGATACTGGTGGGATGGAGTGCTGAACGGTCCGTTCGGAGTGGACTATGGAAACTCGACGAATGTATGTCTGTTTACTGCCAACACGACATCCCTCCCGAAGTGTGGATATGCAAGCACGCTCTACTTGTATTATGACATTATTGATAAGTTCTACTTTGTTGGAATCCAAAGTTTCGGCCGGAACGTCACTTCGAAGCCAATCGGAATAGCCTTCCAAACTTCTGAAAATGTCTGCGGGTTCGATTTGGTTCCGATCAGAGAACTTTACAAACAGGGAACTGGAGTATGCTTAATTTTTACTTGTTCTTCTCAATTTTTAGTTTCCAGTATTACGTGGTGGCTGGAGACAACTACACGTCTCTAATTTCTGCAGGATACACTTTAACTGGTAACATTCTCGGGTACACAGTTGACTGTAAGGACGCCTTTGGCCAAATGGTTTACGGAGATGTTCCTGAATATGAGTTCACCACTACCACTTCAATGCAAACAACTTCAAAAGCTAACTCTTCCGATTTGGTTGACATCTTCGTATCGCCTGTGAAGAATGTTACGACGACATCCTCGGACGGATTGGGCGGATACGGATATGATGTGGACAGTCCGTTCGCCCTCGGAAATGCCATCCCCATCTGTCTATTTGTGGCCAACTCAACATTCCTCCAAACTTGTGGATACACCACCACTCTCTATCAGTTTTTCGACATTGACAGGAAGTTCTATTTCATCGGAATCGAGAGTGCCGGCCGGAATGTTACCTCCAACTCAATCGGTATTGCATTCCGATCGGCTGATAATGCGTGCGGCTTGAACTTGAAACCAATCAGAGAACTGTACAAGGAAGGCGTCGGGGTGAGCTCAAAAGGTTTCTGATCTTAGATCACATTCGTCTTTTAGTACACGGCAATTGCCGAAGACAACTACGGAACATTGGTCGCTCAGGGATACAATCTAACAGGGAATATCATGGGATACACGGTCAGGTGCAAAAATGCCACCGATAAGATGATCTGTGCTCACTATCCTTCCTACAATTTTACAACAGTTTCCACAACTTCAATTCCGTCGGCTGTTACAACTACCCAGTCTTCTTCTACAACGGCGGTTACAACTACCGCCATAACTTCAACAACGTCTACAACCTCCACCACCTCTACAACGACACCTTCTATAACCACTCGCGGAACAACTATCACCTATGGTGAGAATTAAGGTGCTTCTCACGATAACACTTGTTCAGGCAAATGCAATCCGAATACGATTACCTTTGGGAAAGGCGACTCGAATAGTCCGCAACTCTTGATTGACGTCAATTTCTCAGAGTAGGTAATTGCGTCACTTCAAACGGTAGACCGCTCTTCCCAGTTACGCGGTGTCCGGCACGACGACGACGATGACAGTCAGCTGCACGGCACTGCCCAGCTACAACGTCTACATGCAGTTCAACGTGAATCAGGGCGGCCCGATGGAAAACAGTCAGTTCCCGCAGACGATTGCAATTGAGCTGAGTTGCCCGGTCAGCACGATGGTCTGGAGCTACACGGCTGTGGTGAACGGAGTCACTTACACGAGGGCAATCCAGTCGGTCACTTGTCAGCAGGCATCCAATTCAGGATAGGAACACGTTTTTACGAAGCAGATCTTTATTAAAGAAAAATGAAAATGAGAAGACAACTAATACTGGGAAGGGGAACCCGGGATCGTGAAACACAAAAGAGAACATAAAAGCTATTCAGAATATAATGTCAATAATCTCTTCCGCTTCAGAAGCACTTTTTTCTTCTTTTTCGACAGGCGGCGAAAATGATGGTGGAGTCACATTCGGAGAGGGAAAATATGGGAAGAATTGGGAGAACATTGGGTTCATAAGCTGCATCGAGTAGGCCATTTGGGAGTAGAACATGACCTGCAGCATGTTCAAATCTGGCTGAGGAGCGAGGATCGGGAACGGAGAAGATGCCGTCTCCTCCTTGATTTTCTTGGCCGGCGGCGGGGACACACTGCCTTTGCGGGAAGATTCCTCAGAGGAAGAGGACGACGGAGACTGGTTTCCACGACGGCGGTCCTTCCGGGAGCCAGTCGAGTACGGGTTGTTGTTCGTCTTTAGCGTGTTGATTTCGGGCATCTGCAAAGGCAGAGGTTCGGTTGGAATGCAATTGAAGACTGGGAAACTTACGTGATAGGCGGTGACGGTGATGAACTGACTGTGCGTGATTCGGTGCGTCGAGACAAGTTTCTCCGTTTCGTTCGCTTCGCAGACGCTTTCGTAAATGCTGAGCACCGGAATGTAACGATGTTGAGTGTGCAGATGGATGTAGCTCGGGTTCTCTTCCTCTTTCGACAGCTTGTTCGTGATTCTGACCTGATCGAAGCTGACAGGCTTTTCCATCCAATCTCTGAAACAGAACATTTATTAAATTGAAGGCGAAAAGTGAAAACAAACCTGCCGGTCATGGCTCCGCTATGATGCCACACTCTTTTCGGAGTCCGCTTCATTTCTGGCGATAACGTTTCGATCCAAGATCGGTTGGAAAATCTCAGCTTCTTGTTGTCGACCAAGTCGAGGTGAAGACAGATCGAATACATCTTATTTGCATCCAAACCCTCGATTTTGTACTCGAGAAGGGGGAAAATGCGACGGCCGGTGCAAGTCAGAATCATCTCGTGGCCAAGTTTGAAGCATTCGGACCAAAGGGAATCGATTGAATCGGAAAGAACGACAGAGACGGACATGGATTCCTGATTGGACATTTCTGGAGAAGAACAAGTGAGGTCTGCACACGAGCGAGCAGAAGAAGTAAATAAATGAGATGAGAGGGAGTGAGTCCTCCCGCCTCAATTAGTACGCACTCCAAGTCCCGCCCCTTTATGACTCGTGCGCAGTCTGAGTGACCCGATCGATACTAGTTGTGCATCCGGCAGGTGTAAAACGCGCGATCAGATACAGGCGGCACTCTTTGACGGGTGAAGATTGACACATTGTCCGATGAAAACAGGGATTGACGACGGAGAATGGGAAAAAGTGATCCCAGAAGGCATTCTGAGCCTTTCATGATAACAAATCTACGAGTCTATTGTCTTTCCAGTCATAGCTGTCCACGATAAATTACCAAAACAGAGTTAAGATAGTAAAACTTGTTTTTTTTCTAATATCTAGTGAGAAGTCCGGCGATGTTTGGATGTTAGATAAGAGAACAAGGCGATACACCGAATACCGTTTATTAAAACGATAAATCACAGCTGCCGGTAGAGGTATTATATGGGCACCGGACAGAAAGGGCGCGCTGTTCGCAATCTGGCCGAATTTCTAGGCCGCGAAGTAATTTTCCACTGAAAATGTGGCCTAACTTTTCAAATTCGGCCCCGAGGTCGCCCAATTTGCACTGCAAAGGATTTTCTCAACAGAGCGCCATTTCTGTGCGGTGCCCCTATAATATTAAAAATTTGTCAACTAACAAATTGCTCATTGTCTCTTTTCCTGCTGTTATCCTTCTCATCATCAAAAAACGTTTGCCCAACGCCTACGGCAGTGCCGACAAATATAGTGAGAAAAAAGATTAGAAACTGATGTGACAACGGATTTTTGTTCGGTATCCCGAGGTGCCTTCAAAGGTGTCATAAACAAAGAGAGTCATAAGGTGTCGACGGTAAATCCCAGCAGCGAAGAGCAGATGGAGCAGTGAAAAACAGCAGGTGACCAGACAAACAGAGTTCCCTGACCCTTTCAGATGCCTGCCGAAGAGCAATTAAGTAGTCGCTTGCTCGGTGTGAGAAAAAGAGTTTATGATGAATTTAGTGATGTGTTCCCTTTTCCCTTTCTCAATTCTTGATGGAAATACAGTCTAGCAGCTGTCGTTCCCTTCTCATTTTTTCTTCTGCTCACCATGCGCGCGTTCTCTTTCGTCATCATACATCTTCTTTGTTCTCTTTGCACTGCCCAGCAGAGATGTTGGGAATAAAAATTTTACTCTACGGAACACGGAACACGGAAAACGGAAAATTTTTTTTCTACGGAACACGGAACACGGAAAACGGAAATTTTTTTGTTTTACGGAACACGGAACACGGAAAACGGAAAAAACTTATTTCTACGGAACACGGAACACGGAACACGGAAATTTTTTTTTTTTACGGAACACGGAACACGGAAAAAATATTGCAAAAAAACGCGGAACACGGAACACGGAACACGGAACACGGAATTCCCAATATCTCTGCTGCCCAGTACAGTAATCCCAAGCAAAGATGGTACAAGATAACACTCTAGACAAATGAGATGACAATTAGGTGAGATAGACTAGGCGACGATGGAACGCGCGTGCTTTGGCGGGAAGACTCCGGCAAGGGCGACAAGTGTGAATGCCTTGTGGGGATTATCAGTCGAGAAGGATGCAAATGTGATAATGAAATGAACTTTCCGGAAAGAAAACTATCCATGTTTCACGTTGTGTTTGAGATTTACAATTCAAATTCGCGCCTAGTCTCCGCCAGCGTCTTCCGTTTCCATAGCAACCCGAAAGGCTTCCACTTCTCGCCGTTCTTGAGCTCATTCCTATTCATTTTCGCACTCTTTCCTTACAAAATGGATGCAGAATACGATGAAACGTCAACGGATTCGGAAGATCGAAAGAAGTGGGGACACAAGGATGTGGAGCACTGGAGAGCCATGTCCAATGTGCATTACTATGCGAGGTTTGCTCATTTCTTCGTATATACAAAGTCGTGAATACAGGGAAGGCTACTATGGAACTGCAATTCTGGTTTGTGATGGGCGGCTGGCAACAATTCAGGATGCGCCGCTGTCAGTTCTAAAGGGGGTCTGTCTGACTCTTCTGGGCAAAATCCCGGAATCGATCCGCCAACTTGAAGCGTTCTCCTCCGACAATGAAGTTGCTCTCGGAGCCCTGCATGCTCTTAAATGGGCGCACATGTCGGCCTTCAATCCAGGTGGCGGTAACATAAAACGAAAGATTGACAGTTGTTTTCAGACAATAAGTCCGTTGTGGAGATTGAAACGGAAATATCTAAGCGTGCCCGCGACGAAAAGACCCCCTACACCTCATTCGCTTCCGCCGCCGAGGTAACGATGATCATGACTGATTCTTTGCGAGGGTGCAGTGACGTGAAGAAAAAAAAGAAAAAAAGCCTTATTCCGCGCGTTTCTGATGCGTGCCGTCGGACGAATACTGATTAATTTCACTTGATTTTTTGGAAATCAGCTCATTGTGATGTAAACTAAAAAAGAGATACAAAAAGCACGCACGAGAAGTCATTTTTTGGAAAAAGCTATTTTTCCAGTGGCCTATAAACATTTCTGCGAGTTTCTTGTTGCTCTGTTAGTTTTTATCATAATGAACGCATTCACTATGACAATCAGTATTTCTCCGGCGGCACGCATCTAAAGTTCCTAAAAAAATAGCTCGGCGCCCAGGTCTAAATAACTGGCGTGGCCTATGCGCCTAGTATTTCTTGTTCAGCCGACGGATTCGGCGGAATCCGTGGCCTAGTATCCCAGCTCGCGACCCCGGGCCAAATGAACTATTATTTTCCTCGTCGCCCTCGGAAGGAATCACCGTGCTCCCGTCATGACGAGCGCGCATGATTGCAGGTGCTTTATTTCGCGGGAGAGTATCAGAGAGCCAAACAGATGTTGGATTTGGCGAGGAAAAGAGCAACGGAGAAGCACGCGAAACACTACTGTCTTCTCGGATGGATCGATTTGGCGCTGGGGAAAAAGCAGAAGTCAACTCAGGAACTATTCGAGAAAGCGGGAGGACAGGAGTACCCGGATGGGTCCGTCCATGCCTTTTCCTCACTTCTAACTCGTTTTTCATTTCAGAAACATCGGAAGATGCAAGATATTGGAAGGGCATCATTCCGCGCAAGAAATGAAAGTGGCCGCCAACGAACTGGCCATCTCGACCATTCACTTCCTGCCCGGACACATCGAGAAAGCGAAAGCAATGATAATGTTGAAGGACTGGTACGGAGTGATGGACTGCATTGTGCACGCAGATCAGCCGGAAGGCAGCAATCCGTACATCGAAGTGATCCGCACCGTGCACGGAATCTGTTTTGCCGGGGAGACTTCCGTTCTGAAGCGGACCCTCCAGTTGCTTCTCAAGAGTCTCGATGAGAACGAGGCGAGCAATCATGCTCTCTACGCTCGAATCACCAAGATGATTGTCTCAATTTGCGGTAAAGAAGACAAACTTTTGAGATATGCCAGGTAAGAAAATAAGCACGAGGAAAGGTAGAGCCTTGATTATTCACTTGCTAGAGATTTCCTGACCCGTTCAATGAAAATCACTCGCAAACCCGAATACGTAGCACTTTCCCTTCGAATTGCGTTCGGACTCGGGGACGCGAAGGAAGTCGCGACGCTGTCCTCGGAGCTCGTCGCGTTGGATTGCGAGGACCCGTACGCTCTGATGTCTAGCGTCATTTCCATGCTCATGATCAGCAGAGTCTCCGATGCCCGTGCTCAGTTTGATATTCTTCCCTCGGCTCATCCGAAACTCATGGAGTCACCCGTAAGTTTGCGAAGACAAAGAAAATCGCAGTTATGTTTATTTGCAGCTTTACTACCTTGTTGCGTGTGTTTTGGCAAAGCAAAGCAATGACAAATCATTTGAAAACTTCCGCCAACACGTTGAGAATTTGATTGAAATGCTGAGGAACCAACTGCAGTCGCACCCGTTTGGCATCGAGTATCTCAGCCTTTTCAGTACGGATCTTCTCTATTCGGCAGTTGAGCAGTGCATGGATTTCTATCCTCTTGTCCCTGTGAAAGCGCCCGATGAGTGCTTGAAGCTGACTGCAAAAACCCTCCAAATGATAATTGACGTGGCGCCGGGATTGGCGCATTGTGCCTTGCAGTTGGCGAGGAACAATTACTTGGGATCGAACACGAACGGAGCGGAGAAGTGGATCGACAATGCTCTGGAGAAAAATGACTCTCTCGCGGATGCGCATATTCTCAGGGCTCAGCTGATAATGGACAGAGGCGGACAGCTCCAAGATGCGGACGACGCACTCGTCACCGGCCTCAATTTCAACTTCAAACTCCGAGAGACTTCTCTTTATCATCTGATCAAATCAAAAACGTATAAGAAAAGGAACGAGAATGACGAAGCGATCAAGACTTTGAAAATGGCGCTGCAGATACCAAAAAAGGATGTTTCGAACAATTTGTTCTTGCCAAAGGAATCAGCGGACACGCACAAGATATCAGTGCAGTTGGAGTTGATCGAAACACTTCAGCAAACGAAGAGAATCGTTAGTTTCAATATGAATTCACGTATCCTTTTATTGCCTTCAGCAAGAAGCCGAGAACACAATGGCAGACGCATTGGCAGAATGGGCGGGAACTCCGGAGCAAGACCAGCTCGTGATCGCCCAGGCACAGTTGTATTTGAGCAAAGGACACGTGGAAAGAGCCCTCGGAACACTGCGAAACGTTCAGCCGGGACAGTCGAACTTCCACTTGTCACGAATAAAAATGGCTGAGATCTACCTGGACGAAAAGAAGGATAAGCGGATGTTTGCAGCTTGTTACAGGTACAAAATGGATTGGGAGGACTTCGATGAGTTGTTTCTTTCAGAGAACTTTTGAAAGTGGAAGCGACGCCCAACTCGTATTCCCTTCTTGGAGATGCGTTTATGAAAGTGCAAGAGCCCGAAGACGCCATAAACTTCTACGAACAGGCACTGAAAATGCAGTCGAAGGACATTCAATTGGCAGAAAAGATTGGGGAGGCGTACGTGATGGCGCATTTGTACTCGAAAGCCGTCAATTTCTACGAGTCCTCGATGAACATTTACAAGGACAAAAAAATGCGTTTGAAATTGGCAAATCTTCTTTTGAAACTGAAAAACTATGAGAAATGCGAGAAAATCCTGCGAGCACCACTGGACAAAGAGCCGGAACCGATAGACGCGGAGACAATTCGTTCGCACATTCAGCTGCTCTTTTCGCTCGCAGAGTGCCACGAAATGATGAACAAGATTCCGGAAGCGATGAAAGACTTTGAGAGGTGAGTTCGAATGTGAAAGATTCATTTAATGGCTGGAATTCAGGGCCAAAGCTCTTCACGGTCGAATAATGGAAAAATCGAGCAGTATTTTAGTGAAGAAGGAGGCCGCCCGGATCCGTTGCCTCCAGGCGGAAGTCTTGTACCGCAGAAGAGATCTTGCAGAGGCCACTGTCGTTTGCAAAAACGCAATTGAGTATTACGAAACTGACCTGAATTCAAATATTTTGCTGAGCAGAATATTAAGAGACGAAAATCGATGGCACAATATTACCCAACCGTGCCTTGTTGTTCTTCAAATAGATCCGCAAAACGATGAAGTGAATGCGGTGAGATTGAAAGAGTATCATCATTCTTATTAATAAATGTAACCACGGGTTCGTCTGTTTACATCTCCGAATGTCCGAACACTTTTTTTTTCATTTTTAACAAAATAGTAGTTACGGGAAAAAGAAGAAATTAACATGTGAACTTTCGAACGGGTCTAAGAAACAAACAAGCGGCGGAGTCGCTTCCTAGCGTTAGCTCGCCCGCGCAGCCGACCCCGGTCTTAAAAGCCTTGCCTAATCATATTCTTTCAGATCATGGCCGACTATTATTACATGAAAAGTGAATCAACCAAAGCGATCCTGAGTTATTTACACCTTCTGAATGTGAATGCTCGTGAGTTCCGCACTTTTTAGTTCTGAGGCTTCACCGAATCAAAATAAATTAGCACTGCAGATGGTTCTGATGCAGCGTAGCCTCTTTTATTTTAAATAAACACTTCGTTTTTCAGTCAATTGGCACGCATTATCCCGAGTTATCGAGTTGTTCTGCCGCTCTGGAGAAACTGAAACCGCCGAGAAACATCTGAGGTATCCCTCATTTGCATCGATCATTTTTATTATTATAACCTTCGATTTCAGTCTGGCTTTTCAACAATTGAATCAAAAACAAAAGGCGCCGGCTGGATTCTATTATTGTCGAGGACTGTATGAATGGTTTACCGGAGATCAAAACGAGGCGCTTCGGCTGTTTTCGCGTGCAAACGGAGACATTAACTGGCTGGAGAAAGCCACCTACAACATTATTGAGATCTGTTTGAATCCTGATAATGAGGTCATTATAGACGAAAACACTCTGGACAATCCGGAGAGCTCGTAAGTCTCCTACACTTTACGACTATTACGAAGAATGTCATTTTTCAGATTTGCGGAGCAAGCGAACGATGAGAAAGGATTCGCGCAGTCGTTTCTGAACAAACTGACTCGGAGAGACGAGAGATATGAGTTGGCGGAAGCGTTCATTCAATTGCACACGACCAACAAAGACGACATCCAGAAGGCATTGGACACGTTCTCGAAGATGGCGTACGATGCCGATCAGAAAATAAGAAGCGTTGCAGCTGTTTATGGGATGGCGAAAGCCTACATGCTTCTAAAACAGAGACCGAAGGCGAAGGCTCTCCTGAAGATCGTGACAACAAAGTTGTGGACAATCGACGAAGCGTCCTACTTGGAAAAGTGCTGGCTCATGATGGCGCAGATTTACATCGATCAGAACAAAACGGAAAATGCGCAGACCTTCTTGGATATTGCTCTGAAGCACAACGTGAACAGTTTGAAAGCGTACGACTTGTACGGAACTATGAAAGAAAAAGAGCAGAAGTACGTGGAAGCCTACAAGCAATACGAGAAGGCGTTCCTGGCGACACGGGAGAAGAGCCCGTTGTTCGGTGAGAACAGCTACCAACCACGGAGCACTTACGAACGTTTTTTCAGGTTACAAGCTCGCATTCTGTTATCTCAAATCCAAAAAGCTGTTCATGTGCATTGAAACATGTCAGAAAGTGCTCGACGAGAATCCACATTACCCGAAGATCAAGAAGGAGATCATGGACAAGGCGAGGAGCCTCATCAGAACTTGACCGATGTTTACTCTTTCGAGAATAAAACGTTTTTGTGATAACTCGTTCGGCCGCCCACTCAGGTCGAAGAACAGTCCGACGGAGGTCGATTGCCAACTCGAAACTCTATTTTTTCCAATCCAACCATTCGTTCTCTGCATTTCTCCGACCGGTCTCAAATCTCTTCTCTACGTAATGCCTTCCATCAATCGGCCATACTTTTTCAGCCTTCCCTCTTCGCCTCGTCTCTGTGAGATCTCTGTCTTTGCTCCGAGTTCCTTCGCACACTCTTCTCTCTTTCTCCGTTAACAAATCTCTTTTTTCCTCCGTCACTTGTCTTTTCTTATCCCGCTCAGACCGAGGATTGCCACAGTGTGTTGACTTGATAAAAAGTCTCATCTCTTACTGGTTATATTTGAAACCCTATCGTTTTGTCCCATACGAAACAGAACACTTTCAATCAGATATCAGCACCAACATCCTTCTGTTCTCCGTTTTGATCTCTCCCGCCCGTTCTTTTTGCTCGTACCGTGTTTGCAGATTTTGCTAGTTTTGAGTGGGGCGAGAGCGAGAAGCAACTGCGCACTTATTCGGGCAGTCTACAACACACACCCATGTTTGCTCGCACTTTCCAGACTTATTTTCTTTAGGATTTCCCTTTTGTGACGTGACAATTATACAGATGAGAAAGTCTCAACTTGCCTGCTTCACACGTTTTCCATCATTGTCGTGAGTCATGACGAATCCATAAATGAGGGGCGGGAAATGGTTTCGGTAAACAGTGCACTTATCACAAATGACGTGGCTTCATGGGGCGGATATATGCTTAGGCGGGAGGAACGGCGCATGCACAAAGAGAACATTTCCCCTCTCAAACGCCTCATTCACTTTCACTCTCTCTTGGCAACTTTTCTCAATTGGCACTTCATTCCACAGACATATCGTTTGATGGTCTTAATCAATCATCTCTGATCATAGGAACAAACACAGATCGTCGTTTTTTCTTTCAAAACTCATCCGCATATCAACATGTAGTCTGTCTTTGCTCCACTTGTATTTTGCTGCTCTCTTGATCCTCCCTGCTCTCTGTCTTATTGCCTCAATCACTGAGCAAACTTCTCTCGCTATTTTGTACATTTCGTATTTGTTCTGTGCAAAAGATACTTGTGAATGAATTACCCATTGAGCTGATCGTTGATACTGAAAACGCCCGTTCCCGTTCCCATTTCTATTCTCATCTTCAGCGATTCCCCCTGCGACCCCTTCGAAATGTACACGTGCGGAAACCGCAAAGTTATTCCGAACATGCCGGATTTGATCCTGCGAAAGATCTTCGAAGAGTACGATTATAAAGTGCTCTGCAAAATGGAAAGAGTCTGCAAACGGTGGATGAACATCATAAGCAGCAAGTTCCGAAGGGAAATCCACGAGGTTTCCATCGAAAGAGTGAGTTTCCCTCGCGTTTCCGTCCGCTTTATCCGGTCCTTTCCAGCTGGGATCCATCTTCCCGAAGGCTTACCAATGCGTTCCTTTCCGTCGATTAACCATAAGTTGTCCAGTCGATTCGCACGATTTCCTTGCCGGCGTGTACCGTCGGAGCCGTCTGTCACTCATGAAAATGACGACGGACATCAACTTTTTGGCTGGAATCGATCAAATCCACGTGGCAAAAGACTCTGCTCGCAGATATTTCTCGAACGTCGAAGATTTGTGGCTTCTGATGATCCACCCTGACGACAACCTCACTGAGAGATTCCTCGCAATTGAAGGAATGCTCTTTAGTGTAAGAATGCCTATTTGGAAAGTTATTTTATCGATTTTGTTCAGGAATTGAATCAACTGACTCTGCAAGTGCACGTCAGTCCCCGATCGTATCGAAATGTGTCGGAAATCGTGAAAAGCTTCATCCTCCGTTATCCGAAAGCGAATATAAATCTGGAATTGCACGCCGAGAAGGCGATGCACATTCTCAACCAAATCAGTGTTCTCCCCTCGTTGCCGCTCTACAAAATCAAACTGATCTGCACTGATTTCGATCAGCCACAGCTGAGATTGGACCAGTTGTATTCGGTGATGAGGGAACAGAACATTCAGGCGAAAAACATAACCATGAGGTACTCCTCTGATCTTCTGGAACTCCCTCAATCTCCTCTTTTGCAGGGACTGGTCCCTCTTCGCCGACGGCACCACTCCCGTCTCCTATAATCCCCTCGACACGTTCAGAATATCCTCCTGCTCCATCGAAACAGTTGATAATCTCGTGCGAAGTCTCCAGATGACCGCATCCCAATCCACTGCTGTCGAAGGAGTTCCGCCAGCGAAAAAGAAGAAAGTGGTGAAGAAAAAGAAAGAAACGGAAGTGATAACTCAAGAAGGACTCGCCCCGAAGCCGAAAAAGAAGATTGTGAAGAAAGTGGTCAAGAAGAAGAAGCCGTTGCCGTACATCAAGAAGCTGGAGATCGCTGGACAGTGCACTCTTCACGGTCTCACTTTCTTGCAGGTAAGCACTCGAAACCACGTGATTCCCACAATTCCCATTTCCAGCAAAAAGCGCACACAGAACTGGAAAGGCGTCTTCATACCGTCATCCCCGAGCTCGATGTCGACTGTTCGGAAATATATTATTGCTGGTGACCAGCTCCGTATTTTGGCGTATTCTCTCGGGTTTTTAGGATACTGTAATTTTGATTATGAATATATTTTGCTCTTTTAAAATACATTTCTGTCAATTTCAAAGTACAATGTTCCGTTCCCCATTCGGATTCGCTTGCCGCCGAGGACGATAAAATGGAAACGAGAGATTGTTCGGTGAATGTGATCACTCGGAAGGGGACCGTTAAATTAGCGGAAAGATTATATCAGAAGCTGAAATGAAGCTGTTCCCAATTATTTTATGATATTTTTTGTCTTTTTTGAAGAATGCCGACAAGAGACTGTCGAAAGAAAAGTCGGAAGCCCAACATGATTGTAGTTGACATGATTTGTCACTTTATGTACAGAAAAGTATTATCTTGCCCTTTCGAACTTTTGTCCCAAATGGAAATATAGTTCCTTCATAAAATGATGACACTTCTGACAGCAGACACAGACAAGAAGGTCAGTGGATCAATTCATCAATTCATCACCGTTTTGGTTCGCACGTCGGAGTGTTTAATCTGCCCGGAGGTCTCGCTCTTCTCAACACTTTTTCATCAGTTTTATCAACGTCTCGCGCATCGAATCGGTTGCTTTGAATCGTCGTCTCTCCTGATAACACAGTTATTTTCCCCCCGCGGTGAGTGAGTAGCCTACTTCGCAGGTTAGGTTCCATTAATCGTTCCGAATGCGTTCAATAGTACAGACATATCGAGATAATGGCCTAATTGAGCAATTGTCAACACTGACCGGGAGGTGTATTTGATGAACAAATGGGTCGCTTCTCGAGTTACCAAACTTACTTATCCATTTAATCACGGGTTTCTTCTGCGTTCAGTCTCATTTGAACTCATTACGAGGCACGAGACATTTGAGACCATGTTGCGTCCGAATCGTTGTTATTCGTTAATTTGCAAATGTGGCTCCGAGCACTGACCGATTACGATATCCGCCACCTTCCTGTTCACACACTGTCCACTGTTTATATTTATGCTCTTACGCCATAATCTGACCAAAACAAACTCGAAATTGAGAGATTATCCGCTGCCGTCGGGGCCAGTTGACACGTGGATCCGATTGCATAATTGCGCAGTCAGTTGGAGTGTGCTCTCGAGAGCTCCGGAATTGTGGGTAATCAGTGAGGTTACAGTGGTCAACGCACTGATTGCGCAACGGTATGCGATGACGTGGCAAGCACAGTAGGAGGAGAGAAACGGGTCAAATGAGGGAGCGCTTCGTGTTGGCGGAATGGGCCAATTCTCCAGAGTCTTCGAATGGAATTGGAGACAACATAGTTAGCAAAGCTTAGTTTGCAAAACAACATGCGACTACGGTAGTCCGGTGTGCCGAGTGAGAATCCGACCGATCGGCCTGATCTTATCGAGATCACATCGTGGGAGAGCCGAACGGAACTCCCTACCAATCTTGATTTCCCGATCGGCGTTTCCGTTTCTTTCTGTCATCACAAAAGAAACAATTGTTCTTTTCCGGTGAGGTCTGTACGATTTGCCGCTTTTTGAATACCGAATGACTCAGGGGGGGGGGACCAAATAATAATGAAAAGTTTTCGGATGAAAACATCATTGGCCACAACACTTTTATGATGAGTTTATGGCTTGGGACGCCCTCAAAACAGAGCAGAAATTATGTTTTTCGTGTCACGTCACCAAGTAACTTTCGCTACTGTACAATATGAAACACTCTGGTAAGGTGTAACTCGAGAACACACAAAAAACACTCGACACAGAGCGAAAATGACCCGCCCTTCCCTCGTCCGATCGGTAAACGCTTCCAATGGCGGCTGACGAAGGGGCGGGGCCTCCAGAGGCGGCAGATCGGACGACTTCTCGCCGAAGCGAGTCTCACTCGGAAGCTCTCCTCTCCATGGCACTCCACTCATTCGTCACCCGTCCCGATCTTTCTCTTTTTCCCTTTTTACCAGCATTTATGCCCGGCGGCCTGACGGGAAGTCCGCAGAAGTTGGAAGACGATGGAGTCGTCGACAATCCGCAAGTCGAACTGACTGATAACGAGCTGTGGAAGAAGTTCTCGGAAAGAGGAACCGAAATGATAATTACTAAAGGTGGAAGGTCAGTTTACTTTGCATTAGAAATAATTGAAATGTTGTCAATACTCAGAAGAATGTTCCCGTCGTACAAAGTGAAACTGAGCGGACTGGATAAGTACAGCAAGTACATCATTCTGATGGACCTGGTCCCGGTCGACCACTGTCGTTACAAGTTCAACAGCAGCCGATGGATGGTGGCAGGAAAAGGGGATCCAGAGATGTCGAAGATGCCCTACTACCATCCCGATTCCCCTGCTTCAGGTCACAATTCCAATTCTTTTTTGTTAATAATTCCATTTTGTTTTCAGGGGAGTTTTGGATGTCAAAAGGCGCAAATTTCCACAAAATGAAACTGACGAATAACATCAACGATCGGCTCGGATATGTGAGTTTTTCGGTAGATGACAAACTGGCATTTACGAGTGGAAACGAGTCAAATCCCATTTATATATCTTTTTCTCCTATGCGGTCTATGCAGTCAAAAGTTTGGTTTTTAAAAAAAGGGAATCGAGTGTGTTGTGGTGTACGGTACAGATCAGTTCAATGTTGAAATGTTCTCACTTGTCATCCATCACTTTCCTCCGTCACACTATGATGATCTTTTCTCAGCCTATTATGGGGGAACTCTCGGCGTTTCCGTTCTAATTACACCCAACTCCCGATCTGTGATCTCATCTCATTTCAGATGGTTCTCAACTCGATGCACAAGTACCAGCCTCGCCTTCACATTGTCCGTTGCAACGACTTCTCCCAACTGCCCACCGCCACCTTCAAAACGTTCGTCTTCGAAGAGACCGAGTTCATCGCAGTGACTGCTTATCAAAACGAGACGGTACAATTCGACGCCATGGATTTTCAATTATTGAGTTTTCTAGGTTACTCAAATGAAGATCGACCACAATCCGTTTGCGAAAGGGTTTCGAGATGCCGGGGCCGGGAAGCGGGAGAAGAAGAGACTGCTGAACGGATCGAGTGATGACGTGGCAGGCCATTCTCCGGATCCTTCCAATTCTGAAGACGAAGAGCCGCTCAAGAAGAAAAGGAAATCTCCCGTGAAGCCGCAAGAGGACCCCCTCTCGGACATGAAGATTCCTTTCAACCTTCTGGCGCACTGGCAGATGACTCTGTTCACTGCTCTCGGGAGTCACCCACTCCTCGCCAATACACAAAACGAATCGGAGCTCGTAGAGAACTCTGAGTCTATTAAAGATTCCGAGGCGCCCGCGAAGAAAAGTGGTTTCGACGTGCTCGATTTGCTCGGCAGACCCTAATCATTTGTCCCATTTTCCTTTCCATTTTCTTCTAGTTTCCCTCCCCGATCTCTTCTTCTCCCTAAAAGTTTTTCATCCACGGGCACATCCCCCTTTCCATTCTAGTTCTCCAACCTGCATTTCTGGTATTCTCTTTCTCTTTTCTCAAATAAACATTCACAAAGATATGTGTGATCCTATTTTAAGTGAAGCCGCTAACTACCGTAATCTAGCAGCGAGAACTTAACTGTACACTGAGCCAATTGCAAAATGACCTTGAAAAGAAAAGAATAATTCAATGAATCGGCGGAACATCAAACGGGAGAATTCCAAGGTTTAAAAGTGAGGAATAAAAGTGCAAGATTGAAGGAAAACCTGGAGCTGTGCCAGTGATCCTCCACTGATCTCCAACTGTTCGTTCGTGTTTGTTCCACTCAAATATGGTCAGTTATCTGCAGTAAGTGCCCTTCCAAACACGTGTTCACCGCCACTGTTTACCCATCTTAATCAGTCAAGGGCTCACCGTATTAATCCCTCTTTCGGGTACCGTTAATTGGGTCAGGAGCAAGAAGAATGAATCGGAAAGAAATATTTGGATTCGAAAACCAGGAATAACCTTCCGCTGGTGGCCATTTCCGACCAATTATCAGATCATTACTGTCACGCATCCCGCTCATCCTAATTGTGGCCGCGTCTTGACGGTGTCCGCAATGAAAGGGGAATTAAATCAAGAAGAAGAAGAAGAAGTGGATGACTGCCACGTCATCGCAATGTTTTCAGACGTTGTTTCAATCAATCATCGAGCGCTTCCGTTTCCGTCGCTTACGAGTTGTACGAGGGCATGTTGCCAGCGCCTTCCTGTTCCCATCAAAAGCCCCGTCGTTATGTATTCCAAGCCGACGGAGACGCGAAGGGAACAGACGGGGAAAGATTTGGATTCTGTTTCAGGTCGGAGGGCTTTCCGTGTTATCAACGTGGCGAAGAAATCAATCAATCAGTAGCAAAACACCTCTGTCTTATCTTGACATCCAATCGAGACATGTCCGTCGGATTCAATGAGAACTCCAAGAATAACAAGGTGTCTCAGCAGTGAAGATTGTTATCGCGAATACATTTCACGCACTTGCGGAGACACACTAATCACTGTCTCTTCCGCTGAATGGCAGGCATTGTTGGGAGTTAGTAGCTGGATAGCACGCGGTCTGAAACAGAAGGAACATCCGTTCAAGGGACCTGGATACATAAGCATCCAACGTTTCTCGCCTCAGTTCTCAACTATTTAATCGTGCTTAACCAGTGTTAATCAGTGGTTATCAGTGTTACTCACTAGGAGAATGCGTGAGAGTGAGAGAGAGAGAGAGGGTTATCAGAGAATAGGGTTTCCCTCTTCGGAAGCACAATGTATCTTTCGCGGAATGAGAGGCATTCGAGTGAGCTTAATATTAGTAAAAATATTCATAAACGGTTAAAGGCCAAAAAGTTCGGTATATAACAAAAATTGAGTCGAAGAGAAGAGAAGCGGGATGACTAGGGAAAATAAATAAATATGTACAGGATAGGGAGCACAACCGATTGAGGAGCAATTAGAATTATGTCATATCAGAATGGCCATGAGTATTTGAGCTTATTTTGATAGGATACATGAGAAATGAGCAAATACTGTCAATGCCTAAATGCCGTCTTTCCTCTCATAAAACAAAAGATACGCGCCTTGCTTGTCGACTTCTTCTTCGGAAACTTCCTGGAACAAATTGATTAGACATTATCACTTTTCGTATTAACTAACTCTGACGGAGCAATCATTGAGCATCAGCCATTTGTCCTCATTACTCTTTGCGTACGCGATGAAGTGACCACAAGACAGCTGGCCGTAGTGATTCTGAAATTCCTTTTTGTTAACCAAATACTTTTCTTTATCACTCACAGCCAAGGCAATGCATTCGTACGTGTTTCCGTCTGGTTTGTCGACGAACGGCGCCGGATCGAAGTGTTTGAGCGGGAAATTGACTGTCCGCTTGCATTTTCCCATTCTTCCTTGCTCTCGGAGAAACTCGAAGCGTTTCAGATGGATTATCAGATATTTCGGGAGTTTCCAAATAGTCATGACTTTGTCCCTCGTCGTCTTTTTCTCGCATCGATCGCATTGAATCGCCGCGTCAAGGGTTTCTGGACACGAGAACTTCTCGATGCAATGTTCGAGCGAGGAAGGAGCGAAGTGTCGGGACCACGTCTCGGCCACAGATGGATCATCTTCACAAGCCTGTTCCTGCGAATGATTGTACCGAAGGTAAAGGGCAATCGGCAGCCAGTCGACTGCAATCGGACAGTGCGCGGGAATATACGTCTTCTGATCGTCCGGACGAATCGGACAGCCTCGGCAGAAGCGGAGGGCCGGGCATTGTCCGCACCATTCGTAGTTCTGATCAACAAGGCACAAAGTGAACGGATAGCCGGAAGCGTCGTCTTCGCACGGATCATGGGCTCTGCTCGAGAACGAATTGACTGAGTGTTCCATGAAACGATGCATCTGGTACATGACATCATCGTAGAGCTTCTTTCCAGTCACTTCTGTATCCACGCCGATTATGAGTGGAAGTCCGAAGCGAGAGACAATGAACCCGGCGGTTGATCCCAGAATGTGCGGCTCGTGATTGTATTGTAGCTTCCTGTGCATTGCCACTCTCCACTCGTCTTCTGCGGTGCTTTCCGGTAGTTCAAGAGCATACAGTCTTGCTCCAGAAGGGAAAGAGCTCAGCGGCATCTCATCTTTCAACTGGCAGTTCCGTTGACTCGGAGATCTGCTCATGAGAGTTCCCTTGCTGGACATGCATTGAATTGTGATGTGCGACATCGAGATGCCACTGGAAGCCGACACAACTTCTCGGAGATGACCTATTTTCGAATCGCGAGAGAGACGGAATCCATAGCGACGAGGAATTCGGCCGTCGCGTCGTACAACTGAAAGAGCAATTTTTGATTTGCACAGAAAATTATAGTTTTCAGTAGCCTACCGATGACTTGGTACAAATCGACGTCTTCGAATCCAATGGGCAAAGAGAGCGAGGTGAATGGTTCGAAAACACTGGAACTTCCTTGGCACGAACGACAGATCAATCGGGAGCGGAGCTGTCCAGTGAACAGTTGAGTGACCAGCGAATCATTCTGCTCCTCGTACTCTTTCCATGATCTGTCCGCCTTTTCCTCGTCGCCCTCTTCTTTTTCTTTCGTCTCCTCCTTCTCTGCTCTCGGTTCTACCTGATTCTCGTTCGTATTCTGAGTCAATGTCTTGTTTGCCTCGTACATGGAAGTGTGCAGTTGATCGAGTAAAAACGCGACGAACTCCTGACAATCGTGCTGTTCACTGCACTCGAACATGTCTGAATTCATGCGAATTGCATCGTTGAAGTCATTCGGCGCAATATTCTTTTTTTTCGCCGCCCACATTTCCCTCAGCAGCTTTGCATACTCGATCGTCGTCTCCACGGCATCTCTTCTTCGGGTGTTCGTTCGCTTAATCGCATCCAGATTCTCGTCCTCCAAGAAGTACTGTGTCAATGGAGAGACTCTCGCAAGACATTGAATTCCGGCATTTCGGTAGCAGAAGTTCCCGTAGTTTACGAGTCCAACGGCTCCCGGACGACCTGTAGAATCTTGTGAGAGGTTAGGAAAAGCGCTTGAGAAGTGGAATGGTTACCTGAGAGTTGAGCATTTGAAGAGGAGAGAGTCGACGCGGCAGTGATCTGTTTCCCGGAGAGTGAAGCTCGCAGCTCCTCCGGCCACACTCCGGTCCCTCGCTCGCGCACTTCCAGCAGCAACTTCATTTTGTTCACTTTCTTCGTCTTCCCAAGTGCCACGTACAACTGATGCAAGTTCTGTGCTCCGTCATCCAGCAGCACGTTGCCCTCCTCGTTCTCTTTGACCACTTGCCACAGTCTCGCATCTCCTTCACCCAATCTCAGTTCCGTTTTGCACAAAGAGAGCAGTTCGTCGACAGTCATGCTGCGGGAGACTTGAGCACACGCCCACGGAGTCAATGATCTGGGCGTCGTTTCCGTTCCGTCATGACTCTTTTTACGGTCATGTCCGAGCAGCAGAATCTCGAGCGGGTACAGTTCGAGTGCCGGCTTGGAATCTTCGAAGAACTCGCCGTCAAGATATTTACGAGTGAATTGAGAATCGACTGTCAAAGCACATCCATGCCAACGAAGCCATGCTCTCCAAAGAGGAACGGGGACTCGGATGTAGTCGGACGGATTCAGGTCAGCTTTCAATCGAGCTGATTCTGAAGAAATGCACGCAACCTGCAAAATTATATACTTGGAAATGGTAACATTTTGAAAAGAGCTTACTTTGCTTGTCCAACTGTCTTCCCTAGTCCCTTTGATTGAAGAATTGTCAATTGGATTGGGGTTCTTATCCGCTTCCAGGAGCGTTCTGAACTCTCCGTGCCAACTAGCCGCGACAATGTTCCATTCGGTCAGCGGCAGTTTGGAAGCGCGTTCTTCGAATTCGCTGAAAGGATGGTTCGTAAATGTCGTTTACCAGATAACTAACTCACTTCACAATTTGTAATTCCAGTTGTTTCGATTCCGGTCTCAATCCAAGACAAATATGTCCGATTTGCAATGCCATCGAGTAGTACTCCTTGACATACTCCTCATTCTCCTGAGCCCATATTCCAAAGTCTATGAGTGCCGCCTTCCCTTGTGCTGATTTGGTCACCGTTTGACGCTCAGCTGGCACTGCCAAATCCTCGTACATATTCTGCAATTCCTCGTCGGACAACATTTTGTCGCAATCGACGTCCCAGATTCTAGCTAGCTCTGAAATTCAATTTGATGAGCAATGTTTTGATAGACTTAATCATACGCGAGATTCTTCCAGGAAGAGGTCCTCTGCAGAGTGCGGAGAGAGTACAAACGAGTTCCCGAAAGTCGATTTGTCCGTCTTTATTTTCATCGAAAACGGCGAAGAGTCTGTCGGCGTAGTTGGACGGGAAGCAGCCGCCAAGAGCCTGTTTCCACTTGTCATCATTCAATTTGCACACCGCACGATCACTGATTGTTGCGAACACTTTCTCTAGTTCGATCACTTCGTTCACAGACACTGAACACATTTTTTAACTTTATGAACGTGCCACGAACGCTTACAGTGAGTGACGTAGGACATGACTTCGTAGAATGATATGTAGGAATCATTCAAAGGAATTGTGAGCTTCGGAGGGCTCAGTCCCCACGAAGCGAATTCGTGATACTCTTCAATGAATCTCGTCTGCACTTCTTCCACTCGGCACAATCCGACGAGAGAGGTGAGCAGATTTTCGAAAGTGACAGTTTCTGCGCCGTGTGAGAAGAAGTTGAAGAGAAGGCGTCGTTTATCGTCGGGAATCTGAGCACCGCCCAGAACATGGTAGCAGAACTCCTGAAGTAATGATGTTTCATTGTCATAATTTTCATCTCAAATATTCTCACGTCATAAATAATGAATCCGTTTTTGAATCTCTGAAAAGCTTGTCGAATGCGGCGATATTCTTCGTCGGATACTGAAAATCATCTTTTCGTTCACTTTTCCTTCTCCTTTTCAGACATACTGAAAGATTTGGCTTCTTCTGCACTGATGATCGGTGCGATCGCATTCGAGCGGCCTGTCAGTAGAGTGTTACCCATTCGAGTTTATAGCATTGCACGTGGTTCTGAAGAATACATTGAAAATCAATAGAGCAATTTCTGTCATTCACGACGTTTTCAGAGATTTTTACGGACTCGAATTTCATTTTAGAATTACTATTAGCCATGAAACAAAAGGAGAAAGCTACGAAACTGCGAAAAAAGGAGACGAAGCGAGCTGTCCGCGCAGCGAGAGAGTTTGTGGAACGGAGAGACGCAGAGACTGGCGTGCATGATGATGCAAACACGCTCTACCGCATTTTTCAGTTTGCCTCCCGACACTTTTCGAATTCGAATTTTGTCTGTTTTCGTTTATGTTTCCCATGTCGCGCGCGTAGATTTTCGAATGAAATTACGTGTTCCGCGAAAAAGAAAAACTCGTAATGTTCGATATTGTCGTCCTCGTAATCTCAAGCCAATAAACGTTAAATTTAGGACTCTTTCAATTTCTTGTCTTAATATCCCTATCTCTCTTTTTCTCGTCCATTTTTCAAGTTTCAGCCTCATGTTCGGCCAGAACAAGTCATTTGGCTCGTCCAGTTTTGGATCGAATACTGGGAGCGGGCTCTTCGGACAAAATAACCAGAACAAGGGCCTTTTCGGGCAATCAACTGCGCCTGCCGCCACTTCCAGTCTTTTCGGTTCGAACCAAAACAAACCAGCGGGATCATCGCTTTTTGGAGGAGCCAGCAATACTAGCTCCAATCTTTTCGGTAACCAAATACAGCAGTAAAGTGTTTCTGACAAACGAAGTTCTTCAGGATCTCCGCAACCTCAGAATCAATCATCTTCACTGTTCGGAGGGCAAAACAATGCCAACAGATCTCTTTTCGGTGGTTCTACAACTACCACCAGCACTGCCGGTGGAGGACTTTTTGGAGCGAACACCAACACATCGAATGCGGGAACTTCAAGTTTGTTTGGTTCGAACACCGCGTCATCTGGCGGAGGGCTCTTCGGAGGTGAGTCCTTATCACTTATTGCGAAACACAATTTTGTGCCGATTTAGGATCAGCTGTGACGGGTACAACTATAAAGTTTGAGCCGCCGATAAGTTCCGATACGATGATGCGAAACGGAAGTACTCAGACAATATCGACGAAGCACATCTGTATTTCTGCTATGACAAAGTACGAACAGAAAAGTATGGAGGAGTTGAGAGTGGAAGATTACATGGCAAATCGGAAAACTCCTGGAACTGGAACCACCACGACCGGTGGAAATATTTTCGGATCAACGACCACTAATGCTAACCAGAGTGGAAGTACTCTGTTCGGCTCAAATACTCAGCAAAAATCCTCGCTGTTTGGTGGCGCCACGACGTCATCTCCTTTCGGTGGCAATACGTCTGGAGGAACTTCGCTCTTCGGGAACAATAATGCGGCCAATACTTCAACCACTGGAAGCTCTCTTTTTGGTGCGAAACCAGCGGGATCGTCTTTGTTCGGAGCTACGACAGGTAAGAAAAAAGATAAAGGAGTATCTCAGTGAGTAGTCAGCCACTACAGGAGCCTCCACATTTGGTCAAAACACCGGTTCGTCGTTGTTCGGAGGAAATCAGCAGAATGCAACTGGTGGTTCACTTTTTGGACAAACTCAGAACCAGAACCAGTCTGGATCTCTCTTCGGTATTGAATGTGAACATTAAAATGTTCTACGAAAAATTAGCTTCAGGAAACACATCGAACACTGGAACTAATCTCTTTGGACAGAACAGTCAACAGCAGCCGCAGCAACAGAGCGGGTTTAACTTTGGAGGAGCTGCAAATGTAACGATACCTTCTTTTAAGAGGAAAAATAAAGTTCTCTGTTTAGACGACGAATGCCTTTGGCCAGCCTGCTGCTGCCAATACTGGAGGAAGCCTTTTTGGAAATACGTCAGCCAACACAGGCGGTTCCCTGTTTGGAGCCAAGCCAGCTACGAGTACTGGAGGATTCAACTTTGGTGGAAATCAACCCACGACTACGAATGCGTTCGGAACTACGAACACGACAGGTGGAGGACTCTTCGGTAACACAGCTGCCAAGCCAGGTGGTCTATTCGGAAATACCACAACTACCGGCGCCACCGGAGGTCTCTTCGGATCTCAACCTCAGGCGACTACTGGAAGTCTGTTTGGCTCGAACACTCAGGCCACACAGCCGTTGAGCACCGGATTCGGCAACGCTGCTCAGCCGCAAGTCGTTGTCCAGCAACAAGTTGCTCCAATTCCAGTCATTGGCGTTCCAGCTGATATCCTCCAGATGCAGGCGAACATGAAATCACTGCAATCGCAGCTCACCAATGCACCGTACGGAGATTCTGCTCTTCTCAAGTACAACACAGCTCCAGAATCCGAGGGCAAAGGATCTCAGATAAACGCCCAAAGGCAGATCAGGTTCCTGGCTGCTAAGAAAGGAGCGTTGACCGTGGGATCTCCTAGCCAAGAATCTTCGTTCATTGTGCCGCCCATCAGCAAGGTGATGAGTGACCTCTCGCCCGCTGTCAACAGATCCTCTGATATCACAAGAGATCTGAACTACACTTCGAGAGAAGCGCCCCCGACGTTGGGAAGAGGACTTCGCACCGGAAGCTACAATCCCAACTCGTCTTTGGTCAACCAAAGCCTTCATGACACCAGTGCTATCAACAGGTTTTTTCGATCGATTGCATCTCATCTCGTTCAATTCAAATTTTCAGAACTATTGATTCTGCGATTGACGCTTCCCTGAACGGTTCTTCAAACCGTCTCGGAGTGCGTGGATCAGTTAGAAGAAGCAATTTGAAACAGCTTGATCTGTCTGTTCTCTCCGATTCCTCTAGAGTTGGACCAGGAACTCGTGCTGCCGATCCAGATGCTCTTCCACGAATTGCCGAGACTTCTAGACGACCCGAGATTGTCGCTTCGACTCCGCAAGTGGATCCGGTTCAAGCTGTTGTGCAACGTCATCAAGACAGAAATAAGGAGCCGCCGGCATTGAATCTGGACACGACATGCGATGAATACACCGGCATTGAGCCAGTTTCCGCAGCCAGTTCAGTTGCATCTGTTGTTACCACTCCGACCGAGGAAACGGCCGCCCAGGAGAACATGGCCGCCGGGGTGAGACTCAGCAAACCCGACTACTTCTCTTTGCCGACTATCAACGAAATGAAGAGCATGGTGAAAAATGGACGTGTCGTCTTGGAGGATGGTCTGACAATCGGGCGTTCCTCGTACGGAAGTGTTTTCTGGCCAGGCAAAATTGAGCTGAAAGATGTCGTGCTCGACGAAATTGTTATATTCCGTCACCGCGAGGTAACCGTTTACCCAAACGAAGAAGAGAAGCCCGCTGAGGGACAAGAACTGAACAAACCTGCCGAAGTTACACTGGAGAGAATCTGGTACACGGACAAGAAAACGAAGAAGGAGGTGCGCGACGTCGTGAAGCTGGCCGAAGTGGGATGGAGAGAGCATCTCGAGAGACAAACCACCCGAATGGGAGCCACGTTCAAGGACTTCCGTGCTGAAACTGGAAGCTGGGTGTTCCGCGTGGAGCACTTCAGTAAGTACGGACTCGCCGACGACGATGAGCCGATGGATGTGGCCCCGCCTCTACAACAGCCGCCACAGCAACCAGAGCAGACAGCTTCACCGCTCCGATCGGTAAGAAAGACGCAGATGAACTCCTTTTGAACCACACATTCCAGCTCGACCTGAACACTTCTGGCAACGACGTCAATAGCCAAGTGCAGCGAAAAAAGATTTACAAAGAAGTCTTCCTTCATGAGGTCCGTTTTTGAATAATCACACTGACTCATGATTTCCCTTTTTCATCACCTGAACACGGTTTTTCATAATTTCTCTGTTTTATTTGTTAGTTTATTTTTACCGATACTGACTGCTTGCCAATACCATCCGGGGCAGGCTGAACAGAAACACCAGCAATTGTCTAATCATTATTTGTCTCTTTGAGTTTTTCGCAATAAACTTGTTTCTCAGAGCCCTTCCCCACATGGTATTGGTATAGAAAATGAGCGAAAGAGTCTGTCTACGTATCCCTTCGACTTTAAGATGCTCGCCGAACGAGTGCCAGCTCCGGCACCTCTCGCCAGCGCCGTCCAAATCGTTCGTCATGCGAATCCAGGAGGACTTGGCGGCGGAAAAACAGACAAATCCCGGGAAGATGGTCGGATAGCCGACATGACAACTGGATTCGAAGAATCGGTCATAATTGAGGACGGAGAACAGCCGGAGAAGAAGCCGAAGCTCGAGTTTCTTGCCGATTTGGAGTACGAGAGCAGTCGCTTCATTCGAAATCTGCAAGATCTGAAAGTGATGCCGAAGAGTCGAGAGCCCACGAACCAATTCAACGGAGGAAGAGAAGAGAGGAAGATGCTCGGGTTCGGAAGGAGCAAAACGATCGATCTGGGAGTAGCAAAGGGGCGGAGCGCCCGGGTCGGATGGAGTGAAAACGGATGCCTTGTGTGGTCTGCGCAGCCCGTCCATAACCATGTGCTTTTCGGAACTCTTGACCGAACTTCCGACGTAGACGACGTGAGAAACTTTTTTCTTTTTCATGTGAAAACGTGCGTTTTGCAGGAAACTCTGGTCGCGATGATCGAAGTCAACGTGCAGGTCTCGGAAACCAGAAGAAAGGGACCTTCTACCCAAACAGACTCAATTTCCTCTTCTCTCGTTTCCAACTTTGCCACTTACTCGGACTCGTTCTCTACCATGTTCAACAGTTACATTGACATTGCCCAGACTGGCGGTTATGACGGACACGCGTCCGTTTGGCAGCTTCTCGCGGGCCTTTTCCCGTCGGAACGGCGCGAAGGATGGTCGTTTGAAAGAGGAGAACGAATCGGAGAGTGGCTGAAAACAGAAGCGAAGAAAAGAGTGATGGAATGGAGAGGACCACGAGAGGAGGCCGCAGTCGGAGTCTGGAGACAGTTGTGTATTGGAGACGTCGAGAAGGCGTTCCAGTTGGCCAATGAGAACGGACATCCGAAATTGGCATCCATTCTGCACTCGAGCGCCGTCTGTCCGGAGGCCACAGTTCATTGCTTCAAGGCACAGATCGAGAACTGGAAGAAGTGCGAAGTGCTTCATCTGGTGCCGAAGTCGCTTCTCAAATGCTATGTTCTCATGTCTGGAGTGTCCCACTTTGATTGGACTCACGAAGGTCAGAAACACTCGATCAACTGCCTCGAAGGTCTTCATTGGACACAAGCTCTGGGACTGCACGTCTGGTTCCTTCGCAATTGGACTGGCCTTGAAGACGCTTACAGTGGATATCAACAGGACGTTGTCGCCCGGAGAGCCGCTTCCAATCGTGGAGATTTGCACGGAGAGCTCATCAAATTGGCGTGCGAATCACAGCATTCACTCGAAGTAGTTTTGGATTGCGCTGCCGGAGAAATGCCCCATGACCACTTCCTTCAATGGCACATTTGGAGTGTTCTCTATTCTGTCGGATACCGTACCATGTCCAAGACCGCTGAAACACGACTTCATCGAAGCTACTCTGCTCAGTTGGAAGCTGCTAAACTGTCGACGTATGCCGTGTTTGTAATGCAGCACATTGATGAAGATGAAGAGTGAGTTGGAAAAGACATTCCCGTCAGCGATAGGTTAATTTCAGAAGGGCAACCGCGGTCCGATCTCTTCTCGACCGTATCGCCCGTTTCACTGACAACGAGACGTTCAACGCCATTTCGGAACAATTTGATATTCCCTCTGAATGGATTGCTCAAGCACAGTTTACGATTACCAAATCCTCTGACGACTCCACTCAACTCTTCGAGCTGGCTATTGCCGCCAAGAATCTTCTCGAAATTCGCCGTCTGTTCGTCGATGACATTGCTCCGACTGCCGTGGTGGCTGGAGATTCGGACAGTCTAAAGACGGTGTGTCTTATGGTCCGCCCGTTTGAAAATCAAATTCCGGAATGGGGAGCCAGTGGAATGATCTACATGGACTACTGCCGACTAATTGATCTTCTCGAGAACGACGTCGATGAGAGTAATCTTCAGGAGGTGCTCGACAGCCTCGAAACTCGACTCCACGCGCCTTCCATCACCAAAAATACCATACAGAAGTAAGTGAATTCATCTGAACTCCCGATTTTAAACCGGTACAATTTCAGACTGGCTCTCCAGACAATCGGACGTCATCTGTTCGAGTATCGCGCCGATAAAAACTCCCTTCCCGAATGGACGAAACTGCTCGGACACCGTCAGATGTTCAAGATCTTCCGGGACCGATCCTCATGGGGAATCGAACGTTTTACCATCGAATTCGAATAGTTCCACAATGGCCGCCGATTTTTTAATTTGTTCTTTATCTATTTTTCCATCTCTATTTATATTCACATTTTGTTTTCTTCCAACAGTACGTCCTTTCCCACTATCAATATGAACTCTTTGTGTGATAATCTTAAACATTCCTTACGTTTTGACAGACCGACGGAATGCTGCTTCGGATATTCCATGTCCTGCTGGAGTGACTGAAGCAGTCCGATGCTCGCCTCCATAAAGACGTCTCTCTTAAATATGCGACTTCTAAAATGCTCAATAAGAAGTTTATTTGAGATCTTCGCTTTAGAGCGAGACAAAAGTAATACATTTAGATAAAAACATAAGAAAAGTAAATAAATTAGAAGCCAGTGTAGTCTTGTTGCTTGGCGAGCTCCAGAAGCATTGGGTCGTCGAAGAACTTGTTGACAGAGACGTCCTCGGAAAGTCCCTTGCGTCTTCTCGTTTTGATCATAAACTCTCTGGCGAGGTGAGGGGTCGGCTGCACGTCTAGTGTCTTGATCACAATCGATTTGTCGAGCGGATCTCCAGGAACGAGTTGCCAGTGATGGAAGGCCGACATGCAGAAGGCCTGTCCTTGAGTGTGAATACGAAGATCCGTCTCGAAGCCGAACGAATCCATCACGGGAATGTATGCCTGTAAGAAGAGTAAGAATGGAAATAGGCGAGTGAGGATTTTGAACATACACTGATGGTGTACATCGGAGATCCGGGCATCGGAGCATCTGTGGTAACGTGACCACGTCGCTTGGCGAGCACTGTGTATACGGCGGCAACGCAATCGGCTGGAGCAACCACTTCCACAGTATAGTACGGTTCCATGAGTCGAGGGGTCGCCATCAGGAAGGCAGAATATGCACATCGGCGAGCCGTCGGAATCATTTGACCTCCTCCACGGTAGAGGGGTTCGGCAGCAATAGTCGCATCGAGAAGTTTGAATTTGACCTGACGAATTGCTGAAATGAAACGGAATGAATTCAGTGAATGACCGGAAACTGACGTTCTTCACACAACGGCCCTTCTCTCGTCGCCCACTGGAATCCTTGCACCAGCGATTCTCTGACAGTCGACAGGAGATGTTTGTCCACTTCGGATGGCAGTGTGTCATCGAGAAGAATATTGGGTCCTGTGGTGTCCGGTCCGAATGCCCAAATGGAACGAGCCGCCAGCAGATCCCAGTTGTACTTTGTCTGGAAGAACTCTCCCAGCCGCCGACGATTCCAGCCAATCTGCACCACTTCGTTCTCAATGTCCTCGTCCAAATGCTTTTCCAATGGTTCAGCCATCATTGTGATCTTGTTCCTGTAATCATTGTTATATTCTCTTCTCTTTTAATAGAAAATCTTACTTCTTATTGGGCGTCTCGGCAAAGCACTTCAAAGTACTAGTCTCAATGACAGTTTCGTTGAATGTGACTACCGGATCGGCCACTTTGATGTCGATCTCCGAGAACACCTTCCGCATATCGTGCATCACACAGTCCATGTACAGCTCTCCAGTGCCCAGAAGTACGTGCTCTCCCGACTCCTCGACGCGTGTCGTCAACAGCGGATACGACTTGTTTACTTTGCGCAGTCCGTCCAACATCTTTGGCAGTTCGGATGGATTGATCGGCTCGACGGCCAGCTTCACGCAGCTGCGAGTGTTGAATTTGAGAGGGCGGAAGATGTAGACGTCGTCCTCGTACTCGAGCTCAGCGATCGTAGCCGTTTTGACGATTGGCTGATCGATTCCTTCAATGAGAACCCAGCATCCGGCGGGCACTCGTGTCACTTCAATCTGGTATCTAGCAACGTGGACGAACAGCCTTCCGACGGTCATTCTTCTGCAGTCCTCTTCGTCTTGGATACTGTAGTTTTCTCCGAGAACACGAACGTCCGTGTTCGCCTCCAGAGTGCCGCTCATAACTCTTCCGAATACACGGAATTGGGTCGCATCGGCCTCCGGATAGTTCTTCGTCGTGTGAACCATAAGCGGTCCTTCAGCGTTACACTTGTGCATCTCGAGAGCCAGTTGCGAATCCGCCGGTCCGAGATAAGTCTGCTCGATCTTCGTTTTGGCGTTATCCAATGGCGATTTGATGTTCTGGACGACCAAATCAGCGAAGGCGGTAAAGTCTCCGAAGAAGCGCTTGCAAATGAGCGCAATCAGCGGACGGACGTTCATTTTCTGCTCCTCCTTCGACAAACGGATGCCCAGTTCGGCCATCATATCCGGAAGGCACGTGTCAACATCTCCGACCACTTGGGAGAAGATCTTGTACATGGGCTCCAGAATGAACTGAACGAAAGTTCGTGGAGAATCATGAGATGGTCCCTTTCTGGAGAACTTGCGAGTGTTTTTGTCAAAGTAAAAATCTCCCCAAAGACGGCGTGCGAATTCCTTCGGATTGAACGAGTCGCCTACAAATAAAAGTTTAAGATCAGATTTCGAAAGTTGTATTACCGTATTGCTTGGCGTATATGTTGGAGAACGAAAGAAGAGAGAAGCAGACGTTGTAGCGCCCCGACGAGAAGATGACATTTCCGTTGAGTGGAGAGAGCAATGGGACGTCTTCCTCAGAGAACGTGCTCAGAATGTTGTTGACCTGGTCAACGATGAGACGCAGCTTGAAGTAAGCATCAGAAGGCGGCAACTTGAGCTCCAAGAGAAGACGGTCGATTTTGGAGATGCACAGAGTGACGGAGAGTCGCTCCTGAATGGCATGCCGAATAGCTCGTTCCGTGTTCATCATGACTCCTTCGTGAGCATCGACGAGCACAACGACACCATCCGCGAGACGGTAAGCGGCAGTCATTTCATCGGAGAAGTTGACGTGTCCGGGAGTGTCGATCACATTGAGCAAGTAGCTTTTGTGACGACTGTCTTGAGCGACGATGGTTACCGGCTGAGCCTTGATGGAACATCCTCGCTGTTGCTCAATGAAGAGAGTATCTGTATAGCGGGTGTCCGCATCTTCCGCGCGGTAGAACTCCGGATGAGTCTGCTCCATCAAACAGTCGAGGAACGTCGTTTTTCCGTGATGCAGATGACCAGCAATCGCGACGTTTCGCATGATGTGCGGGCAGTCCATCAGATCAGCCAGGTACTCCTTTTTGTAGACGGTCTCCGGAAGACGATGCTCGGCCGCTTGGAACTTCTTCTTCGATACCGGCTTGACGATGGGCTCAGTGAGTGGCTGAGCATCTTCCTCTTGCACGAGGGTCTCCACTCCCTCTCCGTACACCTCGAGCGCAGAAGCGTAGTACTTCTTGTCCTCGTGCAGCACAACCTGGTTCTGCGGGATTTCGCCCGTTTCTTCTTCTTCCATTCTTTCCGGTTCGTCGTCATCGTCTTCATCGCTCCGGTCCTCTCCATCAACGTTATCATCCAATTCGGCAGCGTCATCGTCCGAGTCCAACTCGGGACCGATGTAGTTACCGAACTCGTCGTAGAGATCCGAATCCATAGTCGAGAATATCGATTCTGAAAACTTAATTTTTAAAAATAGGAATATAGGGAAGCTGTGAGCAAAAACGGAGGGGGAAGGCCTAAAATAATGAGTATTCAGTGTTAGAAATCAGTTAATAGATAGAAGAACATCGAGAAGTATTGTAATTGTGTAATTGAAGCTCATGAGATTTCTGGAAAAGAACAAGAACAAACGGAGACATTATTTTCTTTGCCTTTTCCGCTTTTCGAAAATCGCTCTGCGACGTTTGCAATGGAGCGCACTTGCATACTACCCCAAACATTTGATTCAAACTCAAATTCCCTTATTGATTGTGAATAGTGTTGCATATCGATACGAAAGTGTAGATTTTCTATACAATCTTTTATACTTTCAAGCTGATTTCTTTATTTTATTTATTAAAGTGTTTAAAATGTAACAGCACAATTTTGCGCGTCAGAAACTGTGCCGAATACGCAATTCACCTCGCATTTTCAAATTGGCGGCAATAAAAAGTTCAAACTTTTACAGCCCATTTCAGGCCCATCCCACGATGCCTACTCCATTCCGGGACCTTCACAACAACAGCAATGCATCTGCCTCTTCTTATGAGTGCGATTCTTTTTTCTTTTTCAAACCATAACTATAGTTTCATTTCAGAACAGCGTGGAGTTCCAGTTTCAGCAACCGGCGGTCAATGAACGACAGCCGAGCCAATCTGAAAGATATTGTAAAATTTCAGTAAAGTAAAACCTGTGAAAAGTGTGTTCTTATGCAGAAAAATGAGCCAATTAATGAAGATGACGTGTCGATTCTGGAGAACAACATTTCGATGATGTCTGTCAGTTCTCCCGCAAGAAACACTGCCGGAGGGAATTTCCTTCCAATGACGCCCGGAGAAAAGATCCTAGGTAAGTTGCAGAAGGAGGAAGAACGGGAACTCTTGCGGAAGCTCTATCCGGAGATGTTCGAGGACTCGCCACAGCCACCACGAAAACCAAACAAAACAGTAAGAGAAGTGGTAAGGAAGACATAAATAGAACTATCGTGATCTTTCTGTTTAAGAAAAGAGAACCGATTTCTGATTACGAAGACGACGATAAAGAAAATCTACCACCAGAAGAAAAATTCAAAAAAGAAAAAGAGATTCCTCCCAAGAAGCCAAAGGAAAGATCTAAGAGAATTCAAATATCATCCGATTCCGAAAATGATGAAGCTGCTTTCGACGATTGTAATAGTTTGTGTCAAGATAATTTAGATGGTTTCAAATGCCCTTTCAGATCTTAAAAAACTGAGAAACCCAATGGAACCCGCGAAAGTCGAAAGAAAAGTTTCAGTACGGAAGAATTTCGTTGTTGATGACGATTACATCAGTGAAGAAAGCGATTTCTCGTCGGAGTCGGAGTCTGAGGACGATCTAGAAGACGAGTACAGAACGTCGAGTCTAGAAACGAAAGCACGGCCTGCGCAGAAAAAGAAGAGAGCTTCTGACGATGAGGAGTGGTTCCTGCAGTCTCTCACTGAGAATTTCTCAGGCCCAATGTATTTTATCGATCTTTTTGCATCCACTTATCACTCATTTTCAGTCACAACGAAGCGAAAGTGTATGTGAAAGAAAATGCTCTCCGCCAAAAGAAACATCGTGAAACTCTTCTCATACGTCTCCAAGACATTCTGATCCGCCGAATATTCTCGGACATTCCCTCTGAAAAGCTAAAACTCGAATGGAATGCACGCCTTCGCAAATCGGCGGGACAATGTCGGAATCATTCGAATGGGAATAGTACGATCGAAATGTCGCCGGTAGTCTGCACGACTGCGGAAAGGGTACGAGACACTCTGATTCACGAAATGTGCCACGCGGCGGTATGGGTCGTCGACAGACTGCACAAAGAGGGCCACGGACCCGGATGGAAACGGTGGGGAGCGCGCTGTTCGTCGGCTTTCCGCTCGCTCCCGTTCGTCGAAAGATGCCACAGTTATGAGATCGAGGCCAAGTTCTTCTATGTTTGCGAAAACGTCGATTGCGGGCAAGAGTGAGTTCTGAATGTATGTAATTGATAAATTTAATCTCTTCTCCTTCAGAATCAAACGTCAATCAAAATCACTGGATACCTCGCGGAAAGCGTGCGGAAAGTGTTTGGGCCGATTCGTTCTTTACCGTTTTTGCCGTCGTACAAACACTCGCATCGTGGTAGAAGATCCGAAGGCGAAGACCCCAACTGCCCCGACGGCGAGTCCATCTCCTCCTTTATCCAAAAGGAATGTGAAGCGAAACGATGACGACGACTTTGCTGATTACGCAAAAGAGAACTATTGGAAGTTCAATAATATGAAGCACTCGGAAGTAATGGAAAAACTCCGAGAGGAATTCAAACAAATCAAATCCAAATGATCACTCATATTTCAGGTTATTTCATTTATATTTCTCGTTATGCGTATCGCCTCGTGTTTTAATCTTGTCTGTACTATTATAGCTCTCAAAGAGCATTCGATCTCAATTACACCTCATGAATAACATTTCTTGCTACTTGATGATTCTGTTTTTCGATCAGGCAAATAAATATCTATTTATTTCTCCTCCAGTGACACTTCGTTGTTTTCAATCGTGGCTAGCAATCATACATTTTTAGAGGCTAAAGGGATCAATAATTAATACAGTGGAGTCGTTACAAATATTAACACGCTTCCTTCGTTTGCAGAAAATCAGCAAGGAACGAAAGGAAGAAAGACGAAAGTGTCTGGGAACGGGCGGAACGGAGCGAAATACTATCGGAGAGACTCGTAATTTGGTCGAAAACAGTGCGGATGGGAGAGGAATGGGAACGCACGGACGGAATCGAATTGGAAATAATCTCAAAAAGAATGGAAAGGGGTTATAAAAAATTGAATGGGACCTCGTATTCGGACACAGCAATTGGAAAATGAGTTGGTCTAGAATCGGGGGGCAACCAGAATGCGAATGGAAACGAATAATGGGAAACAAAGAGACGAAAATGATTGATAATCACACAGTGAACTGGCCGGGGGAAACTGTAGATGAGGAGCTCACGGCAACGGCTCCACGTAGTTTGACGGGATCAGACCCGTCTTGCCGTTCAGAGTGCCAACGAGCCATCCGTCTTCGTTCGATTCGTACACTGAAAACATTTCGATGACGTCGTTGGCAATGACTTCAGAAGGAGAGCATACCGTTGGTGATAATCTGTCCTGGCTCAAAAGAGAGTTCCGAATGATGGTCGGGAGTGCACGCGTAGAGTGTCTTCACGCGTCGACTGAAATTTTCGATTAACTTTATGTGCATTTCAAATTGCGTTATTTCCAGTGATGTGCTCATGCCACGTCACAATCTACCGATGCCCACATGAAACAATGATAGAGTGTGTGTGCTTGTGATAGAGAGAATAGAAAGTGAATGAGAATGCGGGGGTGGATGATAGAACAGGCAGATAACGGTTATACCTCAGGTATTTGTAAGTGGAGCCCATCGCTGACGAATCAAGAGTTCCTCGCAAGTAGTTCTGTCTGGTTATCGATGTGAACGACGTCTCGATGCCTGTAGAATCGACGGCAGTGCACGAGATGGAGGCAGTCAGTTTGGATCTAAAGGAAAGTGGAAACAGGCGATAGAAAGAGAGAGGGAGCACGAGGCGGGGAAGAAAAGAACGGACGAACAGACGACTGAGCAGAACAAAACCATGCATAAGAAACGAGCAGGGGAAGGAGGGAACAGGGGAAACTCACGAGTCGGCTGGGATCCGATTATATGTCGACGCGTAGGAAACACTATATTTGGCTGTAAACATAAACTGTTTTACAGTATCAGCAATTCTCGGCACTTACGTTTTACAGACTTCTCAAACGCGTCCGGAGCCGGAACTACGGTAGCTGTGGACTCGTCGCCGATCGATCCGAACGAGCCGAGAGAGTTGAGTGAATCCGAGCTGTTCCGCTCTGTTTTCGCCGCTTCATCTATCTCCTCGACACTGCCGCTGGCCAGCGGAGCAGTAGTGGTGGGCGAAGTGAGAGGAGACTTCTCTGCGGCGAAATCACGGATCTCAGAAACGTCAAATCCAGCTCCGTAACGAGCGATTTCCGAGGGGAACATTGCGTCCCGTTTCTGCATTCCACGCGAGTAAGAACTGGACACAACTTGTGTGCTTCTCACAATCTTTGATCCGACGCCTCCGGGTGTTTTCGGAGATCGGGAACGGTGTGTGATTGGCGATGGGGCAGAAGTTCCAAACGAGCGGGTGGCCAGAGGACGTCCGTTATCGTGAGGGGTGTGATGATCCGGTTTCGGAGGGACCGCCGAGCCGATGCTCGATTTCGGTTTCGTTTTGAAAATCTTGTCGTAATTGGAAATGAGCACTTCCACAACGACATTGCAGAACTTAATGTCCATGATAGCAGCAACTGTCTCTTCCTTCGGACGGAGCAGAGTCGGTCCGAAGCAGACGCCCAGATTGCTGACAGTCATCAGATTCGCGTTGGACAAATCGGCCACTCTTCTCAAATGACGGACGACAATTTCAAGCATCCGACGATGTTGGGCAGGCAGTTGATGGACGTAGAAGTGGATGTGATCGATTCTCATTGTGGCGTCGCCCATCTTGGCCGCGTTGATGAAAACGTTGTGCAGTTCGAAAGTCATCAGTGGCTCGGGGAGGTTTCTGAAAAGATCCACGAATACGAAACACTTTTCATCTATTCTCACCTGAGAAACGTTTTTACTGCACTGCTGATCGTCTTCGTTTCCCATTCCTCATCTCGCAGGTTCAGCCCGCCTTTCTCACTCGCTTTTCTGCGGTCCAACCCCAACGTCATCAGTTTCTGCACTTTCGACGTCACTCCGCAGTTCCTGTATACTCCCTGCTCGTGAATTCCGCTCTCTTCCAGAATATCAATGCATTGCTGAACGAATTCGAATCCGATATCATCAAGTTGCGCTGCAAAATGCACATCACTTTATTTCTTCACTTTGTGGCGCTCTTTTTGTGGAGAGCTAATGTCGCCGTCTGTGGGTCGGACAACGACGACGTCAATTAGCCATCCCGGACGCCCCCAATCAATTGTTTGTTTTCGCCACCACCCAACGCTTTTGTGCTAATGAATTTTAGGGAGAAGACTGCGGGAGAAGATGTGGAAATACGAAAACACCGTCGACCATTCCAGAAGAGATTTCAGCTACAGTATCCTTCGCATGCTTACCGTTACAGTTGTCGACCACGAATCCAGGAAGAAACGCCGACGCTTTGTGGAACGAGCGGAGACCGTCGGTGATGTTGAACTTGCGAGGAGAGGAGGCGGCGAGCGCCTGCTGATGCTGGTGGTGCTGAGCCATTGCAAACATGGGCTGAGTGCTGTCGCCAAACGACGAACTTCGCTGTTTCTCGTACACGCGACTCATCTTCTTCTCTTTTCTAGATGTGGCTACTTAGGAGACGACGAGAGGAAGAGACGGAGAATTATGAGAGAGCACGTAAGAAGACACAAGAAAAGTGGGCGGAGTGACGGTAAGTCTGAAGAAGGGCGGCCTCATTTCCCTAGAATGTTCATGAATAATTCAACGTGGAAGAAGAAGAGTTGAGAAGCAGACGATGGATGCGCCCTCATTTAAGATGCAAGAGGACGCGAGGAAGATGGTGATTACCTAGTCGATCCCCACTCTTTTTTGCCATACACCGTAGTCAGTCGACCAGCGGGTGTCAGACATTGATTGTCAGCCCGCACAATGATCATTCAACTTTAGCTGTTTAGCTCAACTGTCCTGACTCCCCAGAGAATTTTTGTAAAGTGAGAAGAAGAAATAAGAAAACGAGGAATTCGATGTAAAATAGGAAACATTTTGGAGCTGAGAGCCTGCGGAAATCGTAGGAGAGAAGAATCCATTCGTCGATTCAAATCACGCGATGTACGCGTGAAAAGTTAATGAATGCTCGACGGGAAAAGGCAGAAGAAGCAGAAGAATCGGAAAAGATAGGCTAACTGAAATGGGCGGAGCTCGCAGAGAAGGAGCTTTGTGCGCATCAAGAATCGAAGAATGACACCTATTCAGAACAATCGGCTTGTGCACGTGGACAAGAGATTTCGACCGGCATTAGTCTATTGTTCACCCACGAGAGCTGTGGGAGCTTATGAAATTTAGGCGGAGAAGCGCGAGAATGGAAGCTCCGAGTGTGTGAGTTGGAAGAGAGCCAACCGGGCCAAAGATTGGGGATGCCACTTTTTAGGCCAAAGGGAGGTAATGAAACGGAAGAACAGAGAAGAGAAGAAATGAGTCGGAAACTACAATGAACTTCGCCAATTTTGGGAATACTCATCCTTCTGACTTTTAGGAATATCGAAATAACGAGTAGCTGTAATTATTTGTTGTAGTATTGCTAATTCAGAAGCCAATGGAAACAAAGAAAGCGCAAAGACTACTGTATTCTTCATCTCACTGATTAACTCGAATTTCACTGAATTAGCTTTAATTTGTTCACGATCGTAGCCAATTTCGTTTTTAACATGAAAAGACCGATTGTTTGGCTCGAAACCGGACAAGTGCCAATGGAATCGAGAGAGCCCATCAGCCAAATGAAAAAGGGCACTCGAATTGGATTGTCTCTGACCAGATTTTGTTCTTACCAAAACTCAGAACATCACGCCATCCCACGCAAATCCTTCGGCCAAGAGGTAATCAACTGCCGGCTTTGTCCGCCCAAAAAGTGACGTGCAGCTCGTTTTTCACACGAAAGAAACTAGGCCTTTTGAGTCAAGACGAAGGTGCCAATGCGCGAATTTCCCCGGGGATCTGGCGCGGACCGATGAGCTACATTGAGCTGCTCCTTCGGCTCCGGGTCGTCAACAGAAAGGACAAAGAAAGGAGAAAGGCGACGTGAAGTAGGGGTGGATTAATGTTTGATGAGCTCATGAGATGAACCACGAAGAAGAAAAAGAAGAAGAAGAGATGAACGGAATCGTGAGGTTATGCAGAGTACAGTCTTAAGACGTTCACATAAAGCAGTGGAAGAAGAGGTGGCTTGCCCGCAAAAAGCAATAACGACGCACACGTTTGGCATTCTTCTCGCCTTCTTCTTCGTCTTCTTCTTCTTCTTCCTTTGCTGTTTTCTTTCTTCTTTTTGAATGACGTCAAGCGGCCCGGAATTGAGCTGATTCTGACTTGCTGCCCTCCTCGAAAGCCTGTTTATCTCTTCCAGATGCATTCTTCTCCTCTTTTCTCATTCTCTTTTTCTCGCTTCTTCAGTTTCAAAGCACTCTTCCTCTTCTCCATCGTATGTGCTTACAATCGGTCGTCCAAATGGAACAATATAAAGAAAACGATGTGGAATGTGAGAAGAAGAGAAACCAAGAAGCGATCATGAACAGCGCGAAAAAGAGCCGCAAGAAGCGAAAGAACATTCATTATTATGATTCCAGTCGCGTTTCGACCCGGAATGAGCCGCCGAGGAGCTGCAGGAGAGCTCTTCTTCCATTTTATTAAAAGAAGACGGGGGCGACGAGACGTGTGAATCAGCAGAATGAATGGAATCGGTCGATTCGGAGAAAAAAGAAACTCCTCGTTTTCTGCAGAATGAATTCGCAGTCAAGAGAAGCCTTTCCGGAGAATGTGGGTGGACGCCGTGTTCTCGACGCGAAGTAACTATGGCTTCGACTAAAAGGTTCGTAGGCGAACGGTCATGGAAACCAAGAAACGCAGATATTTTGATGGGGTCTGTGTAGTTTAGTCCAGACAGAAAGCACGAATCAGCAGTCAAAAGACGTCACTTTGCTTCCACTACTCTTCCTCCACCCCCTTCTTCCAATCACCTGACCTAATTTGGAATTCCGTGACTTCTTCCCTTTCTTCTTCGTCGTTTTTCACACTCTTTCTGAAATATTCCGTCACTCTCCCACACCGGCTCACGCAAGTCGAAGAGTACCGCCCCGCCAACCTATTTCGGAACCAGCCACGCGCGTTTGCATTTTCGTGAGAAAACTCTTCTTTCGCCGGAGCTTTCGCGACCACAAAACGAGCAGAGAAGAAGCAACTTCTCTCCCACGACTACCATCCTTTTCCCGAAAATCTTATCAAACACCACATCTTTTTTTGCATTTCACGCAGCACTGAAAGTAGAATATTCCAGCGGCTGAGGGGACGGAGCTAAGAGAGGCTTGTTTTCTTTTGTTGTCCGAGAAGAAAACCGAGAATCGGACGACCATTAATCTTCATCCGTGGCGCCTGATTTTCGCTTAGAAATGCGATACGTCTCAAAAGCACCACGCGCTCGAATGAGAAATATCGAATATGGTATCGAAAAAGGGAATGAATGAAAGAAGATAGGATTAAAGTAAAATAGATATGCTTGATCAGGAAGAATAAAGGGAAAGGAAAGGGAAGGTGATGGAAGGACGAGCACAAGGGACCGGCAAGGAAGGAGGGGAAGCTGGAATCAGGTCAACACCAAAGCACACCGAATTGTATTTTGAATGTCTCTGTAAGAACTTATGGTTCGCGGTACAATGGAAAATTCTAAGTGCAGTGGCTTGAGCTGGTGAGGATCTGAGAAGTCTGAACCATATGGTAGGCAACGGTCGCTAAAACTGCAATCTTCTGAGAGTCTGGACGCTAGACTAGTGTAAAAGTGTGAATTCGTCGGCAGTCCAAAGCGTGTAGTCGCCGAGTCCATTTGACACATACAAAACATTTTGTTTGAAATTGGGGCGAAGGCCGAAAGAAGGAGAAGTGGGAGGAGCCGGCAAGGCGGGAAGAAGGCGCCGAAAAAGGATTACTGATATACTGGGGGCCGGCAGTCGTCGTCGCCGCCGCCGCTTCTGGCGACAAACGACTCACGGAAACGGGAGGCGGTGGAGCCAAACCCAACCCGAAAACAACATCCATCGTCGCCTCTGCCTCGTCATGGTTTTCGAGGACGACGACGACGACGAAAAGATAAATGTATTCGACTCACAATTGAAGCCGTTTTTGCATAGGCCAAGCGGTGGTGGTGGCAAAACAGGGAAACTTATGGACGAATGGAGGCGTCGGAAGGGGCAAAGGGAAGGAAAATTAAACGGGAACGTACTCTGTTTGTAAGTGGAGCACGACGGATTCTCGCCAGCAGTGTAAGCGTTCTGCTTCGCGCCGTCCATTGCGTCGATCCACTCGCAAAGATCTTTTTCCGAAAGGGCCTGCATTGTCATCACGTCGTTCTTCTCTTCTACGCAAACGTCGAAGCAGAATCTAAGAGAATTGAGAATAGAACGTGTTGGTCTATCAGCAGAAACTTCCGAGGAAAAGCAGAAAACGGAACGAAAAGTGGGAAGAAAATGCAAAATGTGCGATCTCGTCTCGAGATTCGCCCATTTTCGTGCAAACTTTTCTCCCTGGAGATTCCAGATTCTTCCTTTTCGCCTCAAATTTATGACCCAAATTCCATCATTTTTGTTTTTCGGCATCTCTCCAAACTGACGTCTTGTCTTCTTTTTTCTCACCTTTTATCAATACTGTCCATAGGTCTTCTCGAGCAAGATTTGAACTTGAAAGTGGCCGTCTGAGCAACCGCACTCTTCATGTCGGTCTTCGTCGCCGAATTAGCACTGACCATCGTGAAAATGCGAGTTTCCCGCGAGTAAACACAGTAATACTTGGTCCAGCGACCCAGCACATCTCGTCCGATCGTTTCTGAAATTCGCTGGACTTTTCAGAATAATGGGCGAACGGCTCCTACTTGGTATCTTGCTTTTTTCCTGCATGTATACGTATCCCTGCTTGATCGACGGTGTCGGCCGTCTCTCTTCGGAACCCGGCTGTAATTTCAATACCAATTGGCGGTGAGAAGTTGCGAAATGGAAAAAATGACTCACTTTTGTATGCGAAGCGAGCAGCTTCAGCTTCAATTCCTCCGCCTCTGCATTCGTGGCCATATAGTTTTCTTTGGTCTGGAAAATATTGAGATGGAAGTGAAAGGCAGACATTTCAGAAATAACCTTCTGCACTTTTGTTTGTACATTGTCAAGGAATGGCTTGAAGTCCTGATGTATTACACTCCCTGAAATAGTGACATTCTCGTAACAGTCCATTTTCGGACAAAAAACTTACCAACGTGGAAAAAAGAGAGCCAGGAGTAAACGTAGGATCCTAAAGTTTCAACGAACTCGAACCGCATCCTTTCCTGTACAGACTGCACTTCGGCCACATACTGAAAACAAAAATAATAATCATTAGGTTCCATATCTATTTTCTGTTATTTACCTGCAACGATGCCTGAAAGAAGCTTTTTTGCTGCAGCTCCAAAAGGGAATCTGCCTCACGGAAGTCATTCTTCCGCACAGTGCTCAGATGAAGGTGCTTTTCGAGAGTCGCGTAGAACTTGCTGCTCTCTTTGTCGTACTTGTTCTTCTCTTCTTTCAACGTCCGGCCGATCGCCTCCGTCCGAAACTTTTTTATTGGCTCCAGGTAATTTTCTTCGGCCTGGTTCACTAGCTTCATCCGCTCGTCTTCGACCTGGTTTATCAGACTGGCAAACTCTTTCAGGCATGTTGCTGAAATTGTGATTTTCAATTCGGCAGAGAAATGATTTTTAATGACCCCATTCTTTTAAACTCAACTCACCGCTCTTGCTCCTCGGTGTTTGCAGACTCAAGCCAAAATTTCTGAAATTAGGCTTGAGTACGCAAACACCGAGGGGCAAGAGCGGTGAATTGAGAGTATCTCCTCCAATTCATTTGTTTTTTTTCTATTTTCTCACCAATGAATCGCTCATCATCAGTCTGATTCGTTCCGACCGTCTCGATCTTAAACTCGCTGAGCGTCTTCGCAAACGCCCTTTGTGCCGTCGAGAGTTCTGCAATAAGTTGCTTGTTTTCTAGTGCTTCCTGTGCTAGCATGTGCTCAACAATTCCACGCAATCGACCTACTTTTTGTGCACGCGATGAGCTCTTTGCACTGGTTCTCGATGAGCTTGATGTTCTTGAAGGCATCGTCCAACGCCACTTCGTGGTCATGCAGATTCTGCCGAAACCACGGCGAATCGGAAATCGAATCCGAGAACTCTAGCGCCCGTAACACCATGTCGGAGCGCGGTCCAAGTAGACGAGGGTCTACTGGACGGTTATCTGAAGGAATGAGAGGCGTTTGGAAGATGGCCTTTTTAAGAAGACGTAGGTAGAGAAAAAGAGAAATAGAGAAAAGAAAGGGACGAGTGAAGAAGAACGCTTCGTTTTCAGAGAAAGAAGCGGCGCGTCGAGACCCGAAGAGCAAACAAACTCACATTTGAATCGGTCGGGCACCGATTTTTTTAGTAAAATGAAAAAATTGTCGCCATTTTTTACATTCTGAAACACGGAAAGTGGCGAAAGTGGACGGATAAAAGTAGGAAAGGAGAGGAGAGCGGACGATTCGGAGAAAGAGGGAAGAAATTTGATACTCGGGGACGGGGAGGATCTTTGGGTATCTGAGACATGATTCTGACACTGCTGCTAGCGGAAGGAATTAGCATCATGCGGACGGTGAACGGTGATCATACGACACGAAAATAGAGAGAAATTCGGAAGATCCAATAAACACCCTAAATCTTCAATCTATATGAGAACCGTAACACTTTCTCGGTTTGACGGCCCTGCGGAGACAAGTGTAATCGTGCAGGAATCGGTGATGTCCGGAAATTCGGACAGTTCGGGAAATCACTGTTGTCGATCTGGCGTCAAGAGATAAGAATCAAGAGAAACGTCGAAAATACGTGATTCCTGTAACAAGCGATGCGTGATTCTCTTCAGAATTCTTCCAGAGAGCTTCAGTGGGGCACACACAAGTTCGGCACGTAGAAAACATGAAGGCAGCCGAGCGGAAACAATTTTCGAAGAGCCCTAACCCGACTCATAAAAAGAAAAGGATGAAGAGAGCTGCTTTTGCCGCCGACCAACGAAGAAGGAAGAAGGAACCGTAGATGATGATGATAATGATGATGGTGACGACAAGAAAGAACAACAGTTGAAAGTGAAGAAAGGGACGAAGAACAAGATGGTGAGGAAAAGGAAGGCAGAAAACGTGAGCGGCCAACAAAAATAACCGAATTTGTATAGGAGCCGAAACAAAGTTATCGCGTTATTTGTGTTGTGGCCATGGGATGTGCTGCGCGCGCCATCGAAGAGAAGGAGGCGAGAGAAGGACGAGTCCACAATTCGTCATTTTTCTAGCTTTTTCGACGGCGGATATCAAAAGTGTAGTTGCCGCTGGAGGAGGCAGCGCGAGCAGGATGCAACGGGGCGACGCCTCGAAAAGGAAGGAAGGCGGCAAATGAGAAGGAGACAACTCTTGTATGGAACTTGTCGATTCTAATCGACGACACAAAAATCGACGACAACGGGAAGCAGCAATGCGGAAAAGAACAATTCTCCGGGGGGAATGAGTGAATATGGGAAGCAGAAGGAGGGGAGAAGAAGCGAAAACTGCTTCTCCCTTCTTCCTTCGTCATCTTCTTTCCTCTTTTCGCTCGTCAAGCACACTGCCACAAATCCAAAGGAGAATATCACGAAACACTTGACAACATGAACAATGACGCCACATAGCTCCGGAAAAGCTGAAGAACGAACGCTGCGACGCCCGAGTTACAATGCGTCAGAATATTCGCCGACGTAAAATTCTGATGAAGAAGGAGCAGAAGACGGAAGAGGGGGAGAAGAAGAAGTTGACGACGTCACAAGCGGAAGAGATGGGACCCCGAAAAAAGGGAAGAAGAGCAAACTGCTAGAGGAACGATGAGTGCGTCCTTCCAAAAGTTCGAGGATCATATTGAAAAAGAATGGAGACTGGTGGTGACTAATCGCTTACAGTGGAAGAATAAAAGAAAACCAACAGTGGTGATGGTTTTCGCGGTGTCACCGCTTGGTTTTCAGTTTTGCAAAACAAAACGGTTGTTCGAAGAGAGAGAGAGAGAAACAGAGAAAGACTGACTAATCCCCGATTATGAAACATCTGCCAAAGTGAGAGTTGGCCCATCAATCTGCGTCACCAAGTGCCGGGGCCAAAATGAAGAGTTCTGATAGAAGGACGGAGCACTTCAGAATCACGCGAAGACGACAAAAAGGACAAGTGGAATATTATTGGGATCGTGAGGAAATTCACAGAGATCAGACGAGCAAATAATCCGATTGGACACGTTTATTACAAACCTGGTCACGTGATTCAGATGATAAGAGAAAGGAGTTTTCAGGGCGGCAGTGTTAAAGTACATTGGGAAAGGGGGCGGAAAACAAAGAGAGATGTAATTCAGCTTGTCATTTGCAAAAAAGGCGTCTGTGGAGGGAGACACTTATTATTTCAGTGCTTATTCTTCACTAATCAAATAAATTTATGTCCTACTGCCATTCTATTCAATGATATTTTCATTGACTTGCACGAAAAAAACCAGGTTGGCGAACGAGAAAGAGGCGAAGGGACAGTTTTACACACATCAAACAACGGTTTTTACGGTAAGCCTCGTGTTTCCCGGATTGGGAAGATCCTGCCATTTCCAATAGGAACAATGGCTGGTCGTGGGTCGACCCCGAAACGTAAACATTTCTTTCGTTCGTCCGTTCTCTGTCTTCTTCTTAGTCGAGTATTCAGGCACAACATGAACATGTACACAACCATCCAATGATGACGTTCGCGAATTTTTTCGGAAAGGAGAAGGAGAACGTCTCTCCTCTTCATCTTTTCCGCCTCCGTAGCGTTTTCCATATTCTCTTTTTCTACATTCCGACGGCGAAAAGTGCACGAGGACAGCACGAGCTTTTTTTAAATTCCGATTCGCAGAAAAACAGAGAAAATTGAAGGAGAATTTGTTGGAACAAAACGGTAGCGAAAACTTTTCAAAACTAGCGCTCTGTCCACGTGGAGTACACGAGGTGGGCGGACTAGAAATCACGAGCAGTGGTTCTGCCACCTTGAGGAGCGAGAAATTCAAACGAGAAAAAGTGGGCGGCAACTGACTATGCAGAGTGGTCAGTTGGTGACAAGAATGCTACTGATGAACACACATAACAAGTTGACAAATGGCGACTTGTCAGCAAAGAGCGTAGAGGCGCAGAGCCCCGGCAGCAGTATGCGAAAACAAACAATTGGGGCTCTTTTTCGAGGAGAGGCGGTCGAATTTTGGGGATGATGAGAAGAAGAGCGAGGAGAGAGAAAGTGAGGAAGAGGCGCAGACACTCGGAGAACCGAATAGTTCAGCTGTACAGCCCGGCTCATAGCTGCTGATAAAACCGTCGACGACAAGGCGCAAAAAGAACGTCGAAGAGGAAGGCCGAAGTGATCAAACAAACCCTGTCAAGCCGGTGTCGCCAACAAAGAGTGAGAGGAGGCGAAGCTGGCTGACCGATAGCTAATAATCGGATTGAATTCACTGAATTCTCGGTTCAGCTCTTCATTTTTTCAGCCGCCGCCTCTCCCGCTCTTTACGACGCCGTCGTTGAGTCATGCGGTTTGCGTCGCAAAGTGATAAAATTTTATCGGTTTATCGCCACAAAAACCTCTTTTTTTGCGAGTACGTCTGAAGCAAATTACCGAGTTTCGGCAGCAGGAATGTGAGATAAATGAGAAGTGAATGACGGGAAAAGTAGGCGAAAAGATAGATTATTGAGAAATTGAGCTAGTTGGCGGAGAGATACGGTAGCACAGGGCCTTATCACAGAAGAGTTGAGAAGCTTATCTGTCCATTAATGCAAAGAGTTTCAGATTGCCTTTCTGTCTATTTGCGTGCCTTCTTCTCCGTCTTCTGCTTTGCAACATCACTCTTCCGGCCGTCCATTCATCTAAATTTGTGTCCCCCTTCACTTCCTGATTAAGCCCAAACGAATCCGACTCGCTTCCTTTTCCATCCAGCCTCAAGATGTCTTTGATTCGAGGGTCATTAGGCCAAGATGAACGCAAAAAGTCATACAAAAACGCGTGGGGCGGGGCGTGGAGCCGCGGCTCCCGATGATGAAAAAGCGCATCCGGAGAAGGGAGAAAGAGCAGAGACACAGTCAGTTAGAGAGGGGAGGAGGAGGAGCGAGAGAAGTGGGAGGGCTTGGAGGGCTCCGACGGAATCAATGATGCAACAACGTTGCGGTTAGTGACATGAGCAGAAGAAGAAGAAGAAGAAGAAGAAGAAGAGGAGAAGAAGAGGGAGGAGCACGGAGATAACAGTGGAGGGAGTAGACGACTCGTCCCTCGTTATTATTCCCATGGATCTTCCTCTTCTTCTTCTCCTCCTCCTCCTTCTTTTTCTTTTCGCCGCCTTCGTTGTCGTCAGTTTTCGCGCACTGCCTTTCATTTTCGAGAGCCTGTAGAAGGGGCGGAGTCAGAGCTTTGATCCAGAAGAAAAAGATCCGTGGTTTGTTTGATATTGGAAGAGAAAAAGAAGGCGGAGAGGAGGAGGAGGAGGAGGAAACGTGGCAGGATTGGTAAGAAAAGTGAAACTGATACTTCTGGAGGTGGAAACACGCTGACGTAGGTTACCTTTAGCCTTCGACCACTTTTGTGTGCTCTCAAACTACCGTAATACGAATTGATAAAACTGGGTATGGAAAGGAATGCAAAGGTTAGGAAGGGATCACCAACAGAAAATGAAATGAGCGGAACAGTAACTTCGATAAATGACACAAGTATCAAAGCAAACAGACAGCCGCAGCCTCTGCAGAACACGAATATGACGTGGCAGTTTCGATTGGGAAAGAGAACAGAGACAACTCGAAATTCACGGGTCAAGAGAAGCCCTCCTGCTGTTCAGAAGAGGACACTCGGAGCGGATTGTTCCCTTCCGAGACGTCATGCGGACACAAAAAAAGACTGTTCACGGAAAGGTTTCAGAAGTCGGCCAAACTGCAACTCTTATTCTTCCGAACCGTCCGAAACGAGGGTGTAATACCCGACGGCGTGCGAACACCGTCCGAAATAACATAATAAGGCCATCGTTTTGACGCCTGCGCCTCGCTTATCTCTCCACTCTTTCCCTCATCCAAATCGGGTCGGAAAGAGGCGCCAAACGGTTAGATCATTCAGTTTTCGAGTGAACTGGTATTCGGTTAATACCCCCGCCCATTATATCGGACTTATGAACGGAAGGAGGGATGGAATCACGTGTGTAAACAATGCAAAACGACCGGAAACTGGATGGCGACGTTCAGTTTTTCGGTGGGGGTGAATGGCTGGAAATCAAATGGGATTATAGATACTCAGTACACAGGAATACTCAAATTGACTCCAGTTCTCATTCACTTTCTCTCCAAGATCATTCTCTTTGCCGAATCCACCCACAAAAAGTTTTGATGCAGCTCCCAAGGCTTCACATCAAAAACGATGGTCCTTCTTAGATTGAATGATAGTGAGGAGAACGTAAGACTCATAAGGAATTTCCAGTGTGCTCGGCGAGCTGCTCATTTCTTACCTACCTAAGTATTCCGCCAAACCCTCCCCAGATGATTACTACATTCATACCAACAGACTTCTTAAAAATCATTCGTAATTACATATTTCTCTCAAAACAGCACACTTAGATCGAAGATCGCAACCTGAAAGGGATATCAATGCTCAATAGTTCTTCATTTCGATGGGATCGCTCATTAATTCGCCTCTTTCTTCCCAAATATTTGTCAGCGGAAACGCGTGCGGCCACCACTTTCCCCGTCATTCCGCGTCGTTTGCCACCGTCGGCCACCTCGAAAAATTCCAATTTTTATTGGCGCCAGCGACCGAATTGGATGAATTTAATGGCGAACAAATCACCTGGGAATGCTGGTGCCGCGGGGCTTCTTCGACCTCGTTTCGACTTCTCCAATTTCGCTGTTTGCACACCCTGCCGCCATTGTTTTCGGGCGCCTTTTTTGTGGTGATTCCGCGTGTTTGCGGAACGCTTCGCCAGCCATTGTCTTACCATTTTCTCGCTTTATTCATTCTGTTGCTTCTTCTTCTTCTCCTTCTCGCTTTTCCGCTTTGACGTGCTCGTGACGTGGCGCTCCCTCACTTGACATACTTTCAATTCAGAAGTGTCATTTGCAACAACTTTCCGAGTTTGGTTTGCACTTTCTGTTCTGGACATTTCACGAGTTCTTTTGACGTGGCACCCCTCTTTTCGCCTTATGACGTGGCCGAATGAATTAGTCATTGTCGGTTTCGTGTTACACTCTGATCGCTTACACAGTTCCATTCCCTCCTTCTTCATCTGAAAGCCCTCTCTTCTTTCTTTTCATTCTCACCGAATTTACCACTCCCATCTCTGAAAAAGACGAGAAAAAAGTCACGGATATCGATGCGAAAACGCGAAAAAGGCTTGTGAATCCATTAATTTTCTTTCTGTCAATTATGCAGATCCGATCTGTGCGACGAGAGAGTACTGACGATCAGGGAGACGGAGGGGCGCTCTTCCCGCCGCACCCAAAAATTCATATTATTCATATCAAATCAGTCATTCTCCTCGCCCACCTCCTCCCGCCTGTATTCCATTCAAAAACGGTGTCCTTTGGTGACCGTCCGTGCCCCATCGGCGGCCCATCTGTTTTCTTCTTTCTTTTCGGCCACCTGCCCCTTTCCCTAATTATAATACCTGGGCAAGCAGCAGCCTTCATTTCGGATTCGTTCTCCGGCCAACCTACTCATTTACCCGCATAAATTGGGAGATTTGTGTCTCCGTTCGTATTGTTTTTTGTCCGTTCCCTCGAAAAGGCTTCTAATATTATGTCTGGATTTGGAATACGGTAAAGAGAAGCGAAACCCACCATTCGGCGTCTTTTTGAAGTCTGCTCGAGCATGAAGACATCTCATGCCATTCGAGAAAGTTTTCGCACTCAACTCGCGCATAACGACCTTCTTCTCCCGTGGTTTCACGTGTCTCTTGACACAGAGTTTCTACTCACCTTCCTTCCCTCTCTCCGCCTCCTCTTCCCGCCCACTCATTCGTTTCCCGAACCTCTCCAAACTTATTTACCATTTGTTTTCACAGTCATCGGCGCACTCGAACAACAAGACACTTTGTAATTCGCGCACAGTGCCTTTTCATTCCGTTTCGAGGGTCCCTTCCTGTGCCCTGCGTCTCTCCGCTTCCCCATTCGTCTTTCCGATCCGACCTTCTCCCACCCGCCTGTCCGCAACCTCCCTGCCTGCCCGGCAAGGCCATTTTTTCGCCGATCCCTTTCTCCGTCTCTTCAGAAGTCGTGCTGTCTTCTGGGCCGACGTTCCACTTGATTCGATTAACTTATCGATGGTGGAGGCATATGAATAAGTTCCCACGTTTTTGGATCACTTCCTTTCCCTCTTTGTCTCACTGTTTCGTTGAAAATTGTCATTTTAGCTTTATTTGTTCAACTGTCTGCTCACTGTCATTCATTACAGAAACGAACGATATCCGGTGAGCAGTGGCTCGCCGAGCACCCATTTCAACGCCTGAAACGAGAAGAGAGAAGAGAAGATCGATCTGCAAAAGTGAGTATTTCGTAAACTTGTTTCGCAATGAAATCTCCGAACTCATAACATTTCGCAACTTGGCTGCTTCAGAAGCCTCCGTTCTGTGCTCCATTATTTCGTAAGATTCCTCGACGGGTCCATTCCCAAAAACAAGATCCTCTTCGCATTTCTCACTCGCAGTCATCAGTCATCTCTCTCCGATTGTATCACCTCGCTTATCATCGTTATCGTCGCTCCGTCCTTTCCTTTCCTTTCCCTTCGGCGCCACCCGTTCTCCTTGGATTGCCAAAAAAAGCAAAGGAACTGTGACAAACATGAAAGCGAAACACACAAAACACGTCGTAAAATGGTCGGACTCGAAAATTTGAAACGGAATAAGAAAGGATCGGAACGAAGAATGAGAAGGGGAATGATAAGGGCGAGGGGCAGGGCTTGAAGTGGCAGTGTTTGCATGCACGGACAGCTGATTATCAGCATTTGTCCGCTCCGTTTCCCTCCGAGTTACTCGGCCATTCTCCGACTGAAATGACCTCCGACGATGAGGAAGAACTGCAGACTTCTTCCGCTACTAAAGATGTGAGTTTTCCACTTGAGGTGTTCGAAATTACTTTAGGTCACCAGGTTACGAGCATTCATGAATGACCAGAATAACGAGAGGTTAAAGTTGAGCACAAAGTGTGAATCATACTCAATTTACCGCTTTATGTGACATGAAAAGTGTGTCTTCTTGCAAAAACTTTAATTGAAGTGTGACGAATAGTTGGAGCACAAACTCTTCTGTTCAAGTTATGTGATGCAATTAATCCTTTTTCTGGAAATGACTAAAATTGAATTCCTTTAACTTGTGATAATATCATGAGGACGCGACTTAACCTTTTCGGATGGAAAATGCAAAACTCAAACAGTGCGTCACCGTTTCCCGTTCCCTTCTGCTCGCCCCCTATGCATCCGAGTCGTTTCCCCTTGGTCAGCAACAGCATCTGGCACATTTCGTTCCGATTGAACTCTTCTGATGTGCAACAGATGCTCCGTTCTTTCCGTCCGTCCCCCACATGTTCCAATTCTTTTCATTCCGTTCCCTCCTTTCCACGTGGCATTCTCGGACGCACCAAACCTCAAGTAATACGCATCGCTTGCGTCTCTTAGTTTCGTTTCTTCCTTTCCCATCTCTTATTATTTACGTTTGCTCTTCATCTGCGAAACCGTAACCGGGCAATTGAGAGCGGAGCACCGGAGAGACGCAGAGCGAGAGAGAAAGAGTGCGCCTTTTGGGGAGAACGAGGCAGCGAACGCAGGTACCCGGCCAGCCAGCCGGCTCTCCGCACTGTTCTTATCGATCGAATAATACTGTTCTATTATCATGTCTTGGTAGGCTGAAAACATACAATTCCTGATTACAAACATAAATAAAACTCTTCAGATGTCCTGGATGTTGCGCAGTCTCTCCGCCCGATTCTCCAGGAATCGACAGCCACAGCAGAGGAATCAGAACCAGGACGCGAGCTTCGATACCAAGAAGTTTGTGCAGTGCAAAGTGCTGCTCTTGGATGGAGCCCATCTGAATATTGTGGTCCCTGTGAGTTTGGTCCCGGCCGCTGACGGTGTTATTGAGATCATTTCAGAGAAACGCAATTGGAAGTGAGCTCTACGAAGAAGTGTTTTACTCTTTGGATCTAGAAGAGAGAGACTATTTCGGATTGCAATTCACCGATCAGTTCAACGTCCAGCACTGGCTAGAACCTGCAAAGAAAGTAGTGAAACAAGTGGCGATCGGCCCTCCGTTCACTCTTCGGTTCCGTGTCAAGTTCTTCACTGCCGAGCCTTCCAGCAATCTGAAGGAGGAGCTTACGAGGTACCAATTCTTCCTTCAAATCAAGCACGACATCTCGTCCGGACGTCTCCAATGCCCTCATCCGCTGGCTATTGAGCTTGCTGCATTTGCACTTCAGTGTAAGTTCGAATAACCATTTCCTTACTTAATCCGTGGCCTTTCAGCTGAACTAGGAGACTACAACCCAGTGGAGCACACTCCTTTGTTTATTTCCGAATTCCGCTTTCATCCGGAGCAAGATGAAAAAATGGAAATCGAGATATTGGACAGATACAAGGCTTGTCGAGCTCAGACTCCTGCTCAGGCGGAGTTGAATTATCTGAACAAAGCGAGATGGATCGAAATGTACGGAGTGGATATGCATACGGTTGAGGGAAAGGACGGAAACACGTACCGATTGGGACTGACTCCCCAGGGAATGCTCGTGTTTGACGGACCCCAGAAGATCGGACTGTTTTTGTGGGAGAAGCTGCAGAAGTTGGATTTCAAGAACAAGAAGATCACTTTGGTGGTGGAGGAAGATGCGGATCAATCGGTAGGCCTCCCTTTTCTCATTAAAGGCATCTCATTGTTCGCGTTTTGCAGAACAACGGACAAATCCAGCTGCACACTTTCGTCTTCCATCTGACTTCCGAAAAAGCAGCCAAACATTTCTGGAAGTGTGCCATCGAGCAACACGCGTTTTTCCGTCTCAAATCTCGTCCGGTTCAACCGAACAGAAAAATGCATTTCTTCCGATTGGGCAGCACATTCAAGTACAGAGGAAGGACGGAATACGAGACTATTCACAAGGAAGGAGCACGGCTTTCTCGTCGACAGTCTTGCTCTTTCGAGAGAAGACCCAGTCAGCGATACGGTCCCCGACAGAGTCATATGACGAACGCACAAATCAGAGAAGCGAAGAGGGCCGAAATCAGGCAGCAGATTGAGCAACAGAGAGCTCATGCTCCGTCGGATCCCCTTCCTCCGCTGCCAATTGCTCCAACCCTTCCGTTACCGCCGTCACCGGACCTTACGAAACCCATAATAACCAACAATAATAATCCGTTCATTTCTGTCTCCGATCCTCCCCCATCACACGTCACAAAGATCACAGTGGGCACGCTAGGTGGCTCAGATCCGTCTTCTTCTTCTTCTTTGCCCTCCTCTTCCCACATCCCTCGGCCCGTTGTCTCCACGTCTTCCTCATTTTCCCATCCTCCTCCACTTCCTGCTCATCAGTCTTCCTCGAAAATTCCCCGAATGAGCAGTGCGTCGGAGCCGAGGAAGAACTCACAGCCACCACAACCGGCAGTCAGACTGCACACATTTGAGGTGAGCAAGTTCTTCGTTTCATATCTTCTTCTGAACATGCGGGATTTCAGGAACCACGGAAATACTCTCAAAACGGATGTGCACCGCCCTCTCGGATCGTGCCGCCCCTGCAGCATCAACGGAGGATCGTCACTGATTTCTGATGTATTCACACTTTTCCTCCTTTTCACAATGAATCCATTGCTTCATGAAAATGAATATGAGCAGAAATCAAGAGCACTCATATTTAATAATTGTTTTTTCTCATTCATCTCGGAAAGCTTGAGAGATTCGCCATGTCGGCCGCAGCCAGCCCAGGAATCCAGTCGCCCCTTCTCGAGAAACTGTTTGTCTTTCTCCAAAAATCTTCTGTGTATTTCTCTGCGGATTCCTGCCCACTCACTCTGTGCACAAACAGTCCGCTCTCTCCGCTGCCACTTTTGAGCACAGCCAATTTCTTCCTCTTCTTCTTCTTCTTCTTCTTCTTCTTCATCTTCTTCTGCGCCGTTTTCTGATCTATTCGCCGTTTTTCCCCTCGCTCTCCATTATTTCGTTCGCTTTCTCGCCTCCTGAATATGGATTCGTCTTGAATTTGCGATGGAATGCGGGGTGTGTGAGAGAGTGCGCGAGGCGAAGAGACACAGAGAAAAAGATATCTCCGATCCACTAATTGGAACCAGAAGTATCGAGGAAAAGGGCGAGAAGACGGACGACCGCACCTCCTCGTTTTATTACATTTTTGTGTGACCTCCCGGGAGGAGACGCTCCCCATAGCCACTACACTTTCGGCCACTGCTCCCCGAGTTACACCCTCGGATTACTCCAGGTGAGATGATCTTGAGATGTTTTTAAGACACACACAATTGGTCATAATTTTTTACTGAATTCTCCATCTTTAATCGGAGCTAATAATGGAAAATTGTGATCAAAGTTCAGCGTCGATCCCTTCGGAAGTGTTGCTCCTCCGAATCTTTAAAGTTCTACCGCTCCGTGTTGTTATTGCCTACCGGATCCTCTTCTTTCCCAACTGGCAGCTGTTCTCCGCTCCCCTCTCCCGATTCCGTTCGTCACCTCCTTCGCCCCCATCCTCTCTCTCACTCATTGGCTCAATTCTTGCTCACCGAGCCCTACTCTCTGTGTAATCTTTTCCGTGCCAACTGTGCTCCATACTCTCCTCTAAATCGCTTCGAACTCACTCAAAAGTGCTGTATTTTCCCATCTCCAGAGCGTCTCCTATTCGTCATCGGCAATCTGCGGTCTATTGATCGAAAACAATCACTTTTTTTTACCGTGCTTTCCATACAAAACAATGTTTTGTTGTGCTGCTCTTCGATGATTAAACGTACCGAAATGTGGGCGGAGCCGCTCTCGTTTCTTTGCTGTCGCCGCGCATTTTCTGAAATAATAAATAGAGCAAATACCCGAGTTTTCTGCTTGTTTCCCCCCGAAAAACCCTGTACCGACTCGAATTTCCATCGATTCGCCTTTCATTTCGAAACGTTTCCCCCGCATTTCATTGCCGAGCTCACTAGGTCCATGACTGATCAAATACGCTGATTTGTCAGATCAGGTTGACGCTTCCGCTTTCGAAATGAATTACGAAATGACGTGGCAACATGTGGCTGAATTGTAAAGCCGAAAGATGACACGGTGGTGGGGGGAAACAATAGTTCCCAATCAAAAGGGACCGAAAAGAAACAAAAAATGACTCATCCGCTCCGCTTGCCCGCCCCGCCCCTTCCTTCTTCTTCTTCTTCTTCCGCTCGCCTCTTCCCAATCATTCTTCGTTCCAGAATGCCTTTCAAGCCGGTCGAGCATCCAAAGTGTCCCAAGTGCGGGAAGAGCGTCTACGCGGCCGAGGAGATGAGCGCCGGCGGATACAAATGGCACAAGTTCTGCTTCAAGTGCAGTGAGTTCAATAAAAGAGAGTAAATGAGAGAAAGGCTCTGTCCCCGTGTGGCTTCTTGTCCTTTTTGTCCTTTTCCTCCTTGTCTCTACGTGTCTTCCTATTCAGGTATGTGTAACAAACTGTTGGATTCGATGTCCTGCTGTGAGCACCAGGCTCAGCTCTTCTGCAAGCAGTGTCATTGCCGGCGGTACGGTCCGAAGGTAGGAGACGCTTCTGCTCGACGGCTTCAGTAGGTTTTCTGTTGCAGGGAGTCGGATTCGGAATCGGCGCTGGATCTCTGACAATGGACACTGGAGAGCAGTTCGGAAACACAGAAGTTGATATGACGTTAGTGTCCGGTGCCCTGTGTTCTGTCTGTTTTGTCCGTGCTCCCCTGCCAATCTAACACGGTCCCAGAGCCTTCCTTCTCTCTTTCTCTGTCCCTCCGTCCCTCTCACTCTCTTCTTCAGACATGTGCAACAAGTTGCTCGACTCATGCACTGTGGCTCCGCATGAGGCAGAGCTCTACTGCAAACAATGCCACGGTCGCAAGTTCGGACCAAAAGGAGTCGGATTCGGACTGGGAGCCGGCTGCTTGACAACCGATTCGGGCGAGAAGTTCGGCGGGCAAAAACAGACGTAATCCAGAAGACTCAATCGAAACGCGGGAAGAGGTGCCACCGGATTGGTGTGCTAGAAAAAAGAAATAGGACTAACGCCCGAGTGACCTCCTCATAACTACCATTTAATCATTTTCCATTCTGTACTCACAATAGACTAAGATTAAAATGAAACCTCGCTTCGTTGATAATCCATTCGGATGTTTTCAGCAACCGTCCGATGACCGCCGAGGCCTTCACCGCTCCGATCAATCCGTCTCATAGCTGAACTTCTGTCGTCTTCACTTTCTGCTTTCTCAATTATTCCCGCCCAATCATCTTACCCTAATAATTGTGAACTGCCTTGTCTTTTTGGTAAACTTCATCCTACTAATAAATATTATCGAATCGGTTTCAAAATAATTCATTAAAGTCTACGTCGAAAGGCACTGAAATATATCACAATTAGAAGAAGAACTGAAAATGATGATTAGAACGGATAAAGTACACGTCTGTGATCCCACACAAATACCCGGAAAAGCAGAAAAATAACTGAAAGCCTAAAGACAAGATTAGAGGGAAATAAGCGAAATTAAGCGAATTCAAAGTCTCGGAACGCGTCCATTCTCTTTCGGTCTTCGATTGAAAGCTTCTCGTTCGAGATTCCCCTTCCGTAAACCAGGAACTCAAAGTACTTGTAGGAAACGAATTCGAATCCGGCCGGTTGACTCATCGAATGCTCATGAGCAACAATGAATTCTTGCTGAAACAGAAACGGTGCGACAGTTGGGAACGTGATCTGACCTGCTCAATTTTTGCGTTCGCGATGAGAATGGTATGAATGACGATGTGATGAGCAGTGAGCGAATGAATAAACAGTCTGGTGCCACTGGACGTCTTCGAAGCTCTCGTTCTCAATGCTGTAATCTCACGATCACAGTTCCCCGTATCGCTTCCCTTCCTTACTCGTAACACTTTTTTCGGCGAGTCCCAGGTGCCACTGGTCGACTGAGCCCACCAATTCCACTGCTCCGGCGCCCTTCTCCTCATAGATAGAGACGCGATCGTCGGCGAATCCGAGGAGCAGGTACCCTTCTGCTCTTTCCATCGTCGTCACCGTGGATGCCAACTTCAGAAGCTGCATTCTCTCACTTTTCAGTTTCTTCTGCTGATGACGATCCAGATCATTCCAGATTTGAAGAGTTTTCGCGCAGCTGACATAGCACCCCATCGGACGGCCGTGGAAACAGATCATCTAAAGACCGAAACTATTCAGTGCGTACAAATGGGATATCCTATGCTTACATTCTGAACATGGAAGAGCGGTTCAATCTGTGCGATGAACTTCTCCGTCACGATGAATTCGTGCTGCCCCGTCAGCAATGCGACGTACGTTCGGATCGCTTTGTCCGCGTATCCGACAGCGTAACGTAGTTTGCACGGCAGCTGACGGTACTGCATGCTCGGATCCAGACTCACGTTCAGCACTTGGATCGGATGACCGTTCTCATCTTCGACACGAGACTCGCCCAGATCATGCAAACCAATCAGACTTTCTAAAAGGCCAGCATTGAGCCGCGAAATCATCCGGGACGGGCTCACCTTCAGCGTACTGCAACGCCTTCAATCTCACGAAAGTGTCGCTGGCAACAACTGCGAAAGCTCCTCTCTCAGCCACAGAAAACGGAGTGACTGCGATCGCATGGGCTCCGCCCGTGTGCTGGGTCACTCTGTGCCATCTGTCCTGATCTTTCTCGGAAACAACGACTTCCGAATCGGTGGCGTGCAGCGCCAGAAGGGATTCTCCCGTGGCCAGCAGTTTGATGCAGTTGACAGCTCCGGAAGAGACGGGATGGGCGAGCATACTGCTGGCAATCACGAAATGATCGAAGTTCGCGGAAAAGTCGAAGGAAAGGTGGAGCAGTCCTCCGGTGACACTTCCCAATAACTAAAGGATGGATTAAAGTGGAATGGAAGAGGCAAGCAAAGAGTTACCATTTGATGAGGTTCAATGAGGATTGAGGAAATGCTATCGAAAGGTGGAATCTGCATCTGTGCCCCGGCATCCAGGAAACGCTTCTCTCTGAAACAAATATATTTGCAAGTGCTGAAAATACAACGATTTTTAGCCCAGTAATAGAGAAATTATTGAGTTATCGTGCTTGCGGGAGGAGGGAACCTATTTTGAGAAGAGGAAGAAAAGAATAACTTCAAAACACTATATTCCTACCCTTTTCCAGCTTTCGCTCGGTTTCTGAAACAGTCAATTCCAGTGAATGTCCAACGTTCTATTAGAATGGCTGTGATTACCTGAGGAAGTAGATCGGAAATACGGCGTTCTGATCTGCCACGTAGACGCCTTCTGCCGTTTTCATTGCACACGCGGCAGTCAGACACGTGGCAAACGAGGCATCCAGAGAAATGGAAGCGACCCTGAGTACGAGAAATTGATAATATCGAATGGAAACTTTCAGTCCCACCTCTTTCCTTTCCTCGGGTAAATGGCCAGAGTGGTCAGACCGGAGAGACAGTACAAAGTGATGTCGCGGCTCTGCGAATCCAGCACAAAGTGAGTGAACACATCGTTTTTGTCCCCCCGATGCTCGAAAATATTCTGGCTGATGATGAGTCTCATGTCTTTGGCGGGCTCCGAACATCCGTTGAGTTGGTCGATGATCTGGTCGATCTTCTGGTCCCACTCGTCCGAATGCTTCTTGATCTTATCGCTGTTCACCTTCGCAATCAGCTCGTCCACCACCATTCTCTTCTCTTCCACCGCAATCCAGCTCTTGCCGATCAGATTCTGATTGCCTGTTTTGTGAACGTCTTCGCACAACTGCTCCAGCTTCTCCAGCTCATCCAGCTCTCCGACGAGCAATCCGATCATCTGCTCGATCTGATCGTTCATATCCAATGCCGATCTGATGATGATTATCAGTTTGCGGAGGGAAGTCAGCCGTTGCGAAACACGTTCACATCGGATCTAAACGAGAGAGTTTCGAAGGATCTTTTACTGAAAACTTACTGATTGGTTCTTAAAGTCGATTTTCAGTTTGGCAAAGTCGTCGTTCGTCGTGTCGTTCTCGGCCACTTCTTCTTCCGAAACGAGCTTCTCCGAGAGGCTCTTCGACGTCGTCAGCATGTCTTCTCTTCTTTGTTTCTCCGTGTCTTCAAACTTTTGAATGCGTCCGATCTCTTCGAAAACGACGTCCAGAAGTACACTCAGGTTGTTTCTGTTGACGGCAACTCTCTGCAATCGTTCTCTTCTTTCATCTCTCCATTCTTCCAGTTACCTTCACGAGAAGCATGTCGTCGTACTGTTCGTGGACCACTCCAACTCTCACAAAACCGTCATAGTATGCCACGTGGAGCAGTCCAGAGTCTCTCCAAAGAAGGCCACTCAAAATGGGACGGCTGGAAACAGAAGTGATTATGTAACTGGAAATGAAAAATGTTTTTCAGTACTTACTTGCATCGAAATGCTTGAATGCATTGGAAGTGGAGAGAGGTCTGAGCACAGAATGAATAGTGGTAAAGGCCGGTTTCAAGAAGAAACACCAGTAGGAGCTGGAAAGTGATTATGAATGTATTATGAATCTTCTGAATGTACCGTACCTCAGTATTCGAATGCTTCTCCGCATTCACAGCAATTATCTTTCCGGGCAACTTCAGAATACGACTCTTTGAAACGGTGGAGCTCTCGAACAGTTCGACAGACTGAACAATTGACACGTGGTAATCTCCGTTCACAATGACGTCTTCAGTTCCCTCGATCGGCTGAATCACTCGAACGACGTCGTTCGATCCGAACACAATGACGTTCGTGACGCGGACGGGGAGACCCGTGTGCTGAGATCGTTCGAGTTCCAGCGAGTGGATGACCTCGATGTCTCCTCCACAACCTGAAGTGAATAGTTCAGATGAACGCGAGGAGGGAAAGGGTACCAGAAAGAAGACGTCCGTCCTCTTGGTGCCGGAAGAGGGCGCCCCGCAGTCGATAGGACGGATGTTCCAGGGCGTACCCGGTCATGGCTCTGAAAGGAAACGAACTGTGTGAACTGTTGACGCCTTCATCAATCAATTCAACAAACCGTTGTTGAAAATCTTGATGCGAAGTTGTAGATTCAATCATACCCTGCAAATAACAAACAGATACAAATGATGAGGGCGATACGATGCGAATGGATACATAATAGGCGGTGGTGATGTCGAAAAGAATTACGGTGAGTGATCGGAAAGACAGAAAGTCGTACAGACGAGCGGAATGTTGACTTTCCAGTCTCTGAACACGGTTCTTCTTTCTTCTTTTTTTCGCTATCAGTTTCACTGTGAATCACTGTTTTCTCTTTCATCTGAATGCTAGGAAGAGTCTCAGAAACTTTGAAGTTTGGAAAACATCTTCTGAATAGTTTGATGCTATCTTCATAGTACATGTTGTCTTCCATCGAAAGATCATATAGACAGATTACCGTAAATACTGTAATAGAACGGCGCCCGTTATACCATTTAATTCGAGACGATTTATCAAACTTTTCTATGAAGATATCAAAAAGCTGTCAACTAATAAGTTGCTGATTACCACTATTTGTACATTTTATCAATTGACAACTTTTAGATATCTCTATAGGTAACTTAGATACATTGCCTTAGATGAACAGTATTCTCATAACTGCTATCACAGCTTTTACGGTAGTCTCAGTTTTTCAAATCTACAGTAATCCTACAGTTCCTACAGTAATCCGCCACGTTGAAGTCGAAAGTGAAAGTGTTCGGAGAAACAAAACACAGAGGAAAGAGAGGGAATGTCGGAGTGAACAAGAACAATAAGAAACAACGGGCCGAGAGTGCGCGGCGGCGTTTTTGAGCCCGCGGGAAGCCGCGACCGTGTGTGCAGATCAGAGAGACGCAGTCGGAGAGACGATGTTCGCGGCGCCACGATTGATTTTTGACGCGGAGACTGCGATGGAATGGATGCATCGACAAAATACGAGAAGCGAGCGGAGAGAGCGTTCGGGACGTGGAGCCCGCAGGCAGTCTTCACTATATTTACAATGTAATTGACAATTTTTTTGGGTGCGAGAATGGTCGCTTATCACTGTTATCAACGATGGAAAAGAGTGGGAAAAGAAGGGAGCGAAGTGGACGAAAAAAGAAGAGATCGGACGGAAACGGACGATCGGGACACGGATTTATGACTCGTTTATCGCGGCGAATCACGGCAATACGTGGGACCGAAGACCGTAGTTGGCGTGACTGATTGATGGGATTACGGAAGCGTTTTTGATTGAGAAGTGGACGATCACGGCGAATGGGACACATGACGTGGCATACTGTACCGTCGGAAACGGACGGATCTTTCCGACCTCATTTCTGGTGTGAATTCGAATGATTCCCACAATGCATTGGTTACAGAATTCAGACTGTGGATTTATATGGTTTGGAAATGACAAAACGCCCGAAAGTAAATAGACATTTGCAATGGAAATTTGATTGACGTGGCACTGATTGGCACTGCTTTGGAAATGAATATTTGGGAGGAATATCAAAGAAGTTTCAGATGAACCGGATGACGTGAACGAGCGGAATAACAGCAAAAAGGGAACAAAAGGAAGGAATGTGACCCGAGATAATCGCGAGAAAAAGAAGTGATAAGTGAAGAAGAGGGAGGGGAAAAGGGGAATGCGGGCCGATCGGGTTACTTTCCTTCCTCTCCTTCTTCTCTTTTATTCCGATCAGACTCAGTCACCGAACAATGCACTTTTCCATTTCAAATTAGCTAAATTCCGTGACTGTTTCCGACGGGCGGCCCACGTAGAATACGGACGGAAACAGGTGGATAAACAAGAGCCGATGAAGTGGTCGAGAGCTCCCTGCCGCCGCGGACCGGAGTGCTCCGCAAATCTGTTGCTCTTTTTATCATTGCGACATTGAGAAGAGGGAACGATGGGGGCGGGAGACGCAGAGAATCCAATGATCGATTGATCAACGGCTCGCCGAGCAAAATATTTCGAAAAAATGTTGAAGTGAGAAGATGCGAGGAGGAGAACAGTATCCTAGACATAATTTATTACAAAAACAATGACCAGGACAGGGAGAGAGCGAGAGAAGAGCTTTTTATTCACAGCTTTCCTAAGTAAGTGACGGGGGAAATGTACGAAAAAGGAAACGTTGAGTTTTAGAAGAACTTTTAAACGAATGATAAAAAAGAAAGAAAATACGGGTCCCTGAGAAAGGGTGGAAAGATCGAAGGGAGGAAAAAGGGGAAAGGGCACATGGCACAGAATACACTATTGCTCAGATTGTGGTGCCGAACATTGTGGAAGTGCTCGCCACGGATTGCCTGTCGGGCTCATCCAGCGAAGAACCAAGGCCTTCAAACTCGGTCACTGCCACGGACTGCTTGATTTCATCGTATTTTTCTTGCAACAGACGGACGTTGTTCGCTGTCAGTCCGGCCAGGAGGCATTTTCCGTTCTGAAACACAGTCGTTCGTTCTGGAACAACTGATTGAGTCGCCCACCTTTCTCCATCGCTTAGCATTCTGCAATATGCCGTCAAGCATAAGGAAGATGGCGTCAATTGTAGCCTTCGAGTCCCATTCGGCCTCTGACTCACAGAACATCGGGTAGATGAGCTGCAAAAACATACGTTATTTTTCCGGAAAGACTAGGTGAAAAGTAACCATTGTGGAGGAATCCTTGGCGATTTTCTTCCATTCTTCCATGGCCTTGTACAGTCCGCTACGGACATTTCGTAGAAGTTCCGAGTTCACATCGGCTGAAAATTCACAGATACTTTGGAAAAACAATGACGGCTTACAAGTGGAGCTGACCGAATCATTCGCTCCCTTCTGCAGGCACTGAGGTTGCTCCGGACATACGAAAACCAGTTCTGAAGCGGATATTTCGATACGTCGGATATTTTGCTTAGAACTTGCCTGGCTCGCAATCGGTTATTGTTCCGCATTTATCAGGACGGAAATTCGAGCGAATCTCGTCCCGAATAATTTTTCCGATTCTTTCGTCCATGAATACGGCGGCCGTTGATGAGACTGCAAGTTCATAATTAGCCAAGTGTTCTTTGAAAAATGAGCTCACAAGGAGAGCCGTCGGGCTTCAGATCAACAGCGATAACGTCGAAGTCGAGAAGATCAATATTCGAAGACTCCGACGAGTTCGACTCTTTCTGGAAAGAAACAAACAATTTGTCAACTTTAAAAATGCCTTACAAGCTGAGTCTCAGAAAGTTCATCCGTGGTTTCCTGATCTTTGTTCTTCAATTGCTCTATTTTCAATTTGATCAGTTCTTCCGCGGGAATACTGGAGATGACGACTCTGTCTAGAAGACGGCGTGAACGCTCTGAAAAGAAACGGATATTTGAGAGGATGATGTTCAGGGCACATACCGCGCTTGCTCTCATCTTCTCGCTTCGACCCACTTCTCGAGATGCTTCCACCAGAGCGAGACCCAAGAGTTCCGTATCCGGAGTCCGAAATACCACTGGCTATGCTCCCGATTCCAGATGAAATCGACGAATAACCAGTCAGAGTGCTGCGACGATTCGATTGTGCAGGTTGTCCGCCGAGAACGTCATCTGAAATGTACGATTGAGGAGAGCCATGCTAAGCTCTGGAAACCTTCTTTAACCGTCGAGGTGGATGTTCTTCTGAAGACGGACGAGAATCTTTGAGCGAGATTTGACGTTGACGGCGCCTTCTTGCGCATGGTCGGCACTTTTTGCGACGATTCGTTTGAAGCGAGACTCGAGACGGAGACGCTCGCATTCACTCCGCCGTTTCCTCCAGTGAACGAACAATCGTTCGTGAACGATACGATCGAAGCACGTCGCCCACGTGGGCCACCAGCTAACGTCGGATCTTGTTGCATGTCCGATGAGAAAACTTCGCTCATTCGTCTTTCTTTGGAATCATGCTTGTGCGAGAATACTCTGCGGAAGATTGAGCTCTTTCGGCCCTGAAAAGTCATTATAGACAAAATTATAACAAGAACGCAATTTTGCTCACAATGCTGGCCGATCCACTTGATTTTCCGGCTTCGGAACACGTGGATAAACGAGAGAACGAGTCCTGCCCTTCGTCAGCAGATTCATTGTGCGGAGACGTTGCGTTCGCTGCGAAAAATTCTTTGGCGGCACCGAATTGCTCCCCTTCCTCTTCAATAGGCTCCTCCAATTTCAGCTGGAAAACAAATACAGGTTTCTTTTTAACTGAATGTTTTCTCACCACGGATGAACTCGACACTGTCAAGGCCTCCTCTTCTGGGACATCTTCCATACTCTTCACATTCAGACTTCTCTTCTGTAGCGACATCCGCATCGAACGGCGCATTGGAGTAGAAAGGCTGTCAGATTTCGAATTGGGAACACGACGGACGGCACTGTTGCAGAGAGAACGGAAGAGTGCCGGCTGGAGGTCGTCGCCTTGTCTGTCCGGAACACTGCGAGTGGACGTTCGGAGACCATTCCTGTGCATCGGATTGCGGCTGGGAGTACAGAAGGCGGACGTCGATCCGATCGACATAGAGTCCTCGTCGATTGTGTGATTCGATCCGATCGTCTCCACTGACATGTGCGATGAAACCTGAAAAGAAAGCGAACGCTTGAAGAATGTTCCAGATGACTTACAGAAATGGCGTCTTCCAATTTGGGTTCGGCTTCATCCGGCGGTGGCACTGGCGTGAACGAATCTCTATTGACAAATGTACGGAGTCCCGCATTCTTCTCGATGTTCGGAACGATGGAACTCGATTCCGCTGATGTAACGCTGGATTCACTAGTGATCGATATCTGAGTCTCATTTGCGAATGCTTCCAATTTCGACGACGACGACGCTCCCTTATTGTTGCTCTTCAGGGTGGTGGAACTTTTCATTTTCTTGAAAATTCCTTTGAAGAAGGTCGACGAACGCCGATTTTCAGCATTCGGCTCGTTGCCCGTGCCTTCGAACCAGTGTTTTTCCTTTTTTGAGAGCGAATGCTCGACATTGTCGTGGGCGCAGTCATCGAGCTGCAATATAAAACTATAGTTTCGGAAATGAATGAAAACTTACATGAACGTCGGACTTTCTTTTCTTTGGCGCTGACATTCTGCAAAAATAACGATTAAAGGAGATATCCAGGGAGAAAATTGAAAAAGAATTTGATAGAAATGTACCTTGACGTTGTATAGATTTTTACGGCCTCGCCGATTTTTCTCGATTTTTTCCGCAGCAAATTCGGAACAACGTCAAGGTACATTTCCGCAGTGTCAAATTATTTTCCGATTCGAATGTCGAACTTCTTTTTTCAACAGTAATTTCAAGCCAAAGTGTTATTGTTTTGCAACACAAAAACGTTTTTTATTTGAAATCCGCGGCAATTTGAAAAAAGCGAATGTTAGGCCATTCAACACAAATTCTCGGCCACGGAGCGCAACGAATCGAATCGAAACGAACAAAAGACAGAAACTGTCTCGTTTTTGTGCAAACTTCAAAAAAAGTGTTTAAAAACAGAATACTAGTAAATGTTTTCAAAATAATCATGACCAATGCCCATTTTCCGTGTTTTTAGCGTTTGAACTTACAATTCTTTAAGAGCATGCAGGTCGAACGAGTCTGTCGTTTTGTTTCTGTGGAGGGACTCGATGCAATCGAGCCCAGAGAAGCAAAAATCGGTCGAACTGAAGCAGTTTCTTGTTGAAAGTTTGGCGAATTTCGAAAAGTAAACGATCGATGGGATACGGTTGAAATCTTCCGTTTGGGACCATGGCGTTTAACTCGATGTTCCTTTAAACCCAAACTGAAATTGTTTGCGAAATTTCTCTTTTTTCAGCGCATTTTCCAAATTCCCAAAGTAATGATATCGTTGCTTTAATAACCCTTTCCGCTTCAATCGTAGTACACTTATCTCCCCCTCCGCTCTCCTCTCTTTTTGCTCTCTCGTCAAACAACGAGAGGGCGGCCGGCCAGTGGCGCAGAGTGACCGCGACGCGCTGCGGTTGCTTTCTCGCATCGATCGACCCTTTTCATCCGTTCGTTTTTCGCATCCAACTGAATCGTTTTCAGAGCGCATTTTCTCGCAAACTGAAAAATGAGTGGCAGAAGGGATAATCGCCGTTCGAACGGCCGTGACGACCGAGATGAAGACCGAAAAGCGCCGAGAGATACGAGAGATGACAGGTATTACTTATAAGCTTCGTTTTAATTTTTTTAAAATAAAAAGCTGAAATTTCAGACGTGGTGGAGGCGGAGCGCGCGCCGGTGGAGGAAGCGGAGGCGGCAGTAACAGCCATAATCAAGGATCTCGTCATGGAGGTTCAGAGAGAACAATCGCCCCGGCTCAACAACCTTACGAAAGCCGTGGATACGGAGGTGGAGGCGGCACGAGATCCGGCGGATCGTTCAATGGAGTCGCGTTCACCGAATCGCAGTTGATGGACGAGGTTCCGAAGAAGAAGTTCACCGGAAGATGCCGTCTATTCGTCGGAAATCTGCCGAACGAGGTCAAAGAAGCCGAGCTGAAGGAGTTGTTCTCGCCGCATGGAGACATAGCCGAGTGCTACCTCTCCGGAAAGGGATTCGCATTCCTTCGTCTCGTGAGTTTATTTGTCATCTGTGTTCTCTGTCATTTTTACCCGTTGACTGTTTTACGCCGTTGCCTGTTAAACTATGCGTAACCGAGGGATTCCGCCTTCAGATTGACACCGAGTAATTCTTTAAATGGACTTATTGTGGACTGGCTGGAAAATGGACTCGTTTACTGGACTAAACAACTAAATTGTACTTACACATCGTAACTGCACAGAGATTTTTGGTGGACTATATTGAAACCTCAGTAGAGCCCCCCACGATGTAAACAAACTTAGAAAAGCCCCCCACCAGTACAAAAAAGGTGGGATGCTTTTTCTTGACGACGGGGGGTCATACTTGAACGGTGCTGTTCAACAACCGCCCCCGCCAGTGCAAAGTGGCGACTTTTTCTTTAAGAACGTGGTATTCTTAAAGGAAAACCCTCCACCCCTCCTCCTTTTCAACAGAGGACATATTCAATCAGAGCCCCACACCATTCAAATACAGCCCTACACTTAGAAAATCCCCCACTCGTGTTAATCGCATTAAATATCAGTCCCCCACCATTCAACGATAACCCCCCATTCCATTCAATTATAGCACCCCACTCAAGTACGGTTGGGCGTTTCTGTTTTAAGGTTATCGATCTGCTTTCAGCACTCTAAGCTGAACAGTAGGTGCTCTATCAGCTTCTTAGTGCAGGCAAGGAGTGTCTGATTCAAGTACTTTCGGGCGTTTTTGTTTTAAGGGTATCGATATGCTTCCGAGGCGTTTTTTGAATTAGGGGGGAGGGGGACTATTTTTGAATGTTCCCTAACTTGAAAGGAGGGGAAAGTTGTAATATGCGATACTGCATGGCTAGAAAACCAACTCCAGTCTAATCAGATCTCAGTTTTCCGATTAATTATCCGGCTGGCCTTTCATCGATTTTCCGAACTCAGCACATATTCAAACGGTTTACGACAGGGTCTCCTGTCTCGTGGAACTGAGAGCACAAAATGTTTTCTCACCTTGTCTTGTGCTAAAACTGTTTCTCTGCCATGTGAAACCCGTTTTGACTACTTGTCGGAACCCTCTGGATACCTGTAAGCTCAGTCAATTTTTTTTATTTTTAATACTCTCATGTACTCCTTCCCTACCCATTTCTACAATTTCTTTCTGTTCTACATTTCGCCGTCTTTCACCCATTCAATTTTGTTCACAGGACACTCGTGCGCATGCTGAAAGTGCAAAGGAAGCCATCGACGGACGCATCATCCACGGCCGCCAAGTGCGTGTCCGATTCGCTGTGCACGGAGCAGCCATTCGAGTCAAAGAGCTCTCGCCGACTGTCTCTAATGAAATGCTGTATCATGCGTTCTCTCACTTCGGAGAAGTGGAGAGAGCTGTCCATATCGTCGATGAAAAGGGAAGACCGACCGGAGAAGGAATCGTCGAATTCGAGAGAAAACCAAACTGTAACGAAGCGATGGCGGCGATTCGCGAGAAAGTGTTTTTGCTGACTGCGTGAGTAAAAGAGTTGATGAGAGAAGAATCGAGAGTGCCGTGACGTAGCTAAAGCCTCGTATTGAATTCCGAAAATGCGCTTTCATATATGCCACGTCGCAAAATAAGTTCTCGGGCGCATAATTTAATTGGACAGTGCTCCTTTCTAAGCTGATTTCATTGATGATAAATCTGAGTTCGAGTAACAGGGGCACCAGACTGTCTTTCGTAAAGTATTCCTTCATGCTAGTTGCGAACCTTCGTACGCGAATCTATTTTGCGAGCAGGGCAGTTACTTATCTGATTCATTCCGACTGCAAACCGAATGCTTCTCTGTCCGAATCTTTCTGTACTTATCTGTTCTTTTCTTTGTCTAGGAGCCCGAAACCGCTCATTTGTGAAGTGTTGGAGCCGAGAGACGAGGACGATGGACTGGCCGAGAGAATGATTCCCAGGACCCCGGGACTCTCCAAGTAAGTTTGGCACAATGGACTTGAATTCAGCTGTCATTTTACCAGTAGAAAACCAGGATTTAAAACATGACTTTCATAATACGACCTCACCAGATTTATATTGGATGCGTAATTCATACAGTGTGCTTTTAAGATTTATTGAGATTGAGATTTACAACAACAAAAACATTATAATTCTTGGAACCTTCCTCATTTTTCGATTCACCGATCCACCAAAGGTGGCAAAATAGTGATTATGTAGCCGTTTTTTTTAACGAATACTTTCAAAACAATTATTACTTCTCAAGGGTTTCCAGAGATGTTTCTTGTTTCTAATAATCCCCATTGTATCATCGTATTTCGTAATCTAGGGAGCGTGAGCTTGGACCTCGTTTCCCGGCGCAAAACAGCTTCGAATATGTGTACGGCATGAAATGGAAGGAATTGTACGATGTGGAGAAGAAGCGACGCCTTGTGCTTGATGAAGAGCTCCGCGAGTCGCGTCGTCGATTGGAAGCCGACATGGAGCTCGCTTTCCAGGACTATCAAGCTCAGATGCTCAGAGAAGGTTCCGTTTCCATCATGTTTTCTCTTCTTTTCTTCTTGCATGTTATCTTAGTGCATTATAATATTTGGACTCGTTGCGATTAGAGTTAAAACGGGCAATACTATTGCTGATTAAATTTTTCGGTAGTTATAACTTCTGATGCGCTAATAATAAGCAAACCACAAATCGAAAATAGCTTGTGGAAAGTTTCACTCGTTTGATTGCTTATTGTGTCCTGGATTGCGCTCTCATGCAATTCACGCAAATTTTGTACTTATCTTTAAAACTGCAGAGACGTGGTCGCATTTTCACTTAAAATACAAAAATTGAGCGGTAGCGCGCGATTTCCTCAAATCTGGGGCTTTAAATAACCACGGGATGTCAAGCACGACGGCAAATACAATTTAAATTACCGTCAACGCATTAGATCAGTAGGTTGTCGCCAATTTGGCTGCGTAGCAACTTGAAAGCGTTGCGGGACGGAGTTTCTATGCTGGCGCTTTGCCTTTTTCGCATAACGCGAATGCATCGGAATCGTGCTCGACACTCCGTGAATGACTCAATTGTTTCGTTACTCAGGCAGGTTTCTTGAAATTGAGTTGAAAAGTTGGTCTACCTTCTTGAGATATTTGCGTTTTATATGCAGTAAACTAGAGAAGACAGCGAAATCGACGTTCCACTGCAAACTGTGATTTGTTCTCACATTCATCCGTTCTATAATTTTCCTAATACTCGCTCCACTGTTCCCTGTGAAATCACTTTTTTTAGACCTCCAACGTCGACAACAGGAGCTAGAACGTCTTGAAGCGGCTCGTCGTGAACGTATGCGTGGAATCGGCGGACCGCCTGTCGGAATGCAGCCACCAGGGCAACAATTCCATTCGCAAGGAGGTTTCATGTCGGGAGGACCAAGTGGACCGGGAACCGGAGGACCGCCTCCGTTCGCTCCGCCGTTCCAGCAGCCTCCGCAAGGGATGTTCGTCAACAACATTCCTACCGGTGTTCCGCCGCCTTTGATGGGCTCAGGAGGAGGTCCGGGACCGCAGGGAGGACCACCAACCGGAGGACCAGGCGGAATGCTCCAGAATCCGCACGGAAGAAGCAATATGATTGAGGGAGTGCAGAGACTTCTTCAGATTTTCAAGAGCGACAACGGACCGGGAGGAATGCGTGAGTTGCATTTTTCAACTAGACAATTTCAAAAATGTGTTATTTTCAGAAGGAAATCGTGACTTCGGAGCGCCACCCCCGCAAATGCCAGGAATCGGAATGTTCGGAGGCGGCGGAGGATCGTACGGAGGAGACGGATATCCGCCGGAGAAGAAGCGTCGTTGAAGGACAAAAGTGCAACTTTCTGAACCCATATAACCCGTCGATCCACCTGTAGGACACGTGTTTATTATCCATTTTTAATATCTAGAAGTGGAAATGTTTTCTGTCAATCATATATTCCTTGTCAGTTTTTTTCCCACTTCGGATCTCAAGTGTCTAAAAATTTAATACAAATAAACTTGTGTTTTAATTGCAACTTTATTCTTTTTGTACCTTCTATACATACATCTAGCGAGTGAAGCAAAGACCTTTTAAAGGCCATAAAGGAATAAGTACTCTCCCAGTATACTGGGAGAAAAAGAGGAACATGCCATAATAAGTCGATTGAGAAACCGAAAAATTGACGAGAATTTGTATCGGGAAGGGGCGAGAGAAGACCGGTGAGAAGCGCAGGGAACAATTCGAGAATAATTGCGAATAAAAAGTGATAAAACAGGAAGTGGACCATCCGTTTCTCTCGCCAGCGAGACAACGGAACGGCCAGAGAAGAACGAGAGTTAGTGGGTGTTGTTGACGATGTCGACGATCTTCTGCGCCACGTTGAGAGTGGCATCGTGCACGAGGACAATGTCGTAGACCTCCTCGTAATGCTGCATCGCCGCCGTGTCATCGAGCTGAAATTCAGAAGAAGACGTCAGTTGCGGTCAAAACGCATTCTCTTACCGATCCGTTGTAGTATCCGACTTTGAGCGTCGGTCCGTCCCTCTCCACTCCGACGTCCATGTGGATGTCGCCCATCGAATCGCCAAGAAGGATGACGTTGACGCTGAAAATCAGAGTTCGACGAATGAGAAAGCTGAAATCAGAAAGCTTACCGTCCGGCTATTTCGTGGAAGAACGACGTCTCCTTCTGAATGACGGACGAATTCTTGCAGAAGGTGTGAATGAGCGGCTCGGAGAAGGCGCACGCTTTGTCGTCCTCGTCGAACAGAATCATGTTGGAGATAAAGTGGGTGTTGCGAGGAATGGCGCCAAGCTTCTGCTGCAGGAAGTACTCGATGATGTTGCCGATTCCGGCTGAGAAGATGACGAGCGGGACGTTGTGGCCGTCGAGTGACTGAATGAAATCTTCGGCACCGTCTTTAAAGACAATGCGCGATTGCCGGACGAAATCCTCGATGGTGGTCTTCGAGAAGCGTTCGTTGATGATCAGGCCGTGCGATGTTCCCCACCATTTCTCCATGTGTGGGATCTTTTCTTCTTGCGTCATTTTCGGACAGAACTCGATCGGATAATACTTTTTCTTCAAATCAATGAACTTTTGTCCGAGTTCCGGGTTCAGACGCATCACGTTGTCGTCGAACACTCCGTGCGTCGTCGACAGTCGCTCCCCCTCTTCGTTCTCGAATCGAGAGAGCGTGTAATCAAAGTCACTGATCACTACAGTCTTTCCGGCGCCTCCGAGCACCATCTTGCGTAGTTTGTTGCTAACGGTTGTCGGGTCGCCTACGATAATATTTTCCTGGTCGAGCAGGAACTTCATCAGCCGTGGAACGACGTCATTTTTCTTCAGCTCCTCGAAAACTTCAGCCTCAGCACTGGCGGCCGCAGCGACTACGATTTCGGTGGCTTTGAACATGGCGAATTGGGACTGGTCGAGCGAAGGGGCCAACGGAGTGTCGGTGAGCGTTTCGGCTGAAAATAGAAGCGAATTGATAAGGCATCAGTGATAAGAGGACAGAAGGCGCCAAAAGTACGTCTACTCACTGGAGTCTGTCTGATTCATTCGGAAATGCGCAATGATCAGGGACGGTTAGAATGGATGAGTGCGATTCAGATGGCTATTCTATTATACTACTTCCTGACAGAGTTTTCTCAAGTGAACCGGTTTTTTCTCAATGAAAAAGAGTGTGCATACTTGAATGAAAAGAATGCGAACTCGAGACAACGTGAAGGGCATGAACACGTACGGACGGGACTCTATCGAGGTCAGACAGGGTCAGCAGTAAAATGGATCTGAACTAGTAAGTGAGACGATGTTTGATTCCGAGAAGACTGTTTTCATCAACGCCGATGAGTCCAAAGGCCTAAGAGAGATTGTTGTGAAAGTGAAACGAAAAGAAGAGATTTTGGCCTCGAATCTCGACAACTTTATAGTTATCTGAGACCCCGCCTACTTTGTCTTTTCACCTTTCGCCGTTCACTGCAAAAAGTAAAGATTTACAATCTCTCGACGGTATCTCAGACGATCTGAGTGTTGTCACCGACAAGAAGTGTAACTGAAGAGGGCCGGGCGGCAGAGAACTGGAAGCGAGCGTAAGCCTTTCGGCAAAGAAATGTTCCGACTAACTGGTCGTCGGAGCGCCCTTTTATTCAGTCGGTTCCGTGTGCTCCGATTATAAATCAGAAGCGATAACGAGTAAGTGCTCAGCCACTGTACTCTTTCGGCGACAAACCGGCGCTGTAAGGACTTGCTATCAGTGCCACTTTACGATCGGCTCTTTGTTCTCACTGTACGATTCCTTTGTGACGTCGTCAGAGTAATGGAATTAAGGGAGTTATCAGTGCAAGGAAAGGCAAAGGATTCTCCCTTTTCAACTGATAAACACACCGTTTCAGGGGCGGGAGCTCATCGAATCGCAAATTTAATCATTCTTTTCCGAGTTGCCCGTTTGAGTTATCTTATCAACGGCGAAAGGTGTGCAAATTATGTCTGAAACTGCATTTTCAGCACATTTTGCAGACAGTCTGGGGGTCTCGAATGGAAGAGGTGAGCGCTTATCAGAATAGAAAAAAAGACGACTCCAAAACTTACAAGTATCGCCAAAATTGTCAGTGGAATCTCGGAAAACTGTGAAAATCTGTCCCATTGCATCGGCTAGGAAATGAAAAGCTCACGCACATTTAAATATTATGCTTCCCGTAACCTACAGCACACTCAGAAATAAAATTTAAAAGCTCATCAATGTTTTCTACGTTGAGTTGCTCACTCCGATTTTCGCATAATATTTCAGAGAATTTAGATTGATATAAATGGAATTCGAATATCTTCTCAATCGGAATCTCAATCACACAAAAAAGTTAACGTCCAAATGATTATTCCAGAACATACGTTCGAAATCTGGCCGGTTTCCGGAGAGCCGACGCCATTTGGACCGTCAGAAGCTTCTGGAATCGGATTCTGATGACCGTCAACCAAAACTTCGTTTCTTTTCCGCCTTGCTTACCTTGAAAAGTACTCCCAGAAGACATTTCGGTGGGGCAGCAGACGAGAAGACGCGAAATACGAAAAACGTCGCAAAATTTTTTGGAGGAGAAGCGAAAAGGGAGCAATGTGTCAAAGCGAGGAGAAGACGAGAGAGTGTGCAACGTGTGAGAGACGCAGAGAAAATAAAGAAGAGAGAGAATTGAGGGATGAAGAGAAGCAGAGAAGGAGAGGGAGAGGCGCATGGATCAGCGGCAGATACTTGTCGAGAAGGAGTTTGTGTCTGGTCTAGAGCAGCCGAGACTAAAGTCTGATGCGAGAACGGAGATGGAAGGAAATTCGGAGAAAACAGCGGGAGACGAGAGATGGGTTAGTTTACGATCTAAAAAGTATGAGTCCCACTTATGACGGAACACTCTGAGAAATGCGGAAAATTCATGATGGCTTTCAACGGGCAAAAAGCGAATTTCCCAAGATATCTGGAAAGGTGAAAGTGAGGTGACGAAAGTCATAATCTTCAAAACACCAGAAGTGGTATCACACCATGTGAAAAGGTCGAGTGATCACTTGTTTTATACAATCCTTATCTCTTTCAGTAAACCGTCATATCTTTTTACACTTTTCTAGACTGTCAGCACAAAATCTCCGTGAAAATGAGTTCGTTTTCTTCGAAATTATTCAATATTTCGGAGGAAAGAAATCAAACGGCGCACTTTGACCTTCATTTGAGTACATTTAGCCTTGTCACTTTTGGTTCTGAAGTCTGCAGACGCATCAATCTTTTCTTCTCCTTTCAACTGGTTTCATCGACCTACCCGTTCATCAGATAATAAATTCAAACTTTCAAATGTCTTACATTGCATTCCGACGGCTGTCCGTCGACTGTCGAAGCGTCTTCCGCTCACCAGAATTCTCCTTCCCAGTCGCGCCACTTTACTCATCGACCTGTTCAAAAGGTCTGAAAATCAATTATTAGGCGGGGTCGTCGGGGACAAAAACAACTGAAATGACAAAAGGAAGATAGAGAAGAAGGGGGAGAAGAAGATGAAGAAGAAGCAAATGACGTCTAGAGCGGAAGCAGATAGAACAAGAGACGACTGGCAAAAGGGAACACGGCAAACAGAGATAGGCCTTCCGCGGACACATCTCTCACTGAACTATGATCAATCACTGCTTCGCTATCATCCGTATTAGTGCCGTGTACGGGTCACATGCGCCTCAAGTTCCTTTCGTATCAATTTTTATCTCGTTCATTCTGTGTGTCAACACCTATGTTCGGTTCTTTGAGGTTTGCTTGACTATTTTGAATGGTTTACCACTTGTTTGATTTGAAAATAGATGCAGTTTGACGAAAAATTTACCAATTTCTGTGAAAACTTTCGATTCACTGAGAAAATGACCAAAAATCGAAATTTTTTGCGAAGCTTTTTATTTCACGCGCAAGGTGTGCAAACACCGTGACGTCAAAAATGCGGCCAAAAAAAGTTTTGCGCCTGATGAGTATCATTAATTTGTGCTTTTAATCAAACTTTTTCGAATAACAAGCATGGTAAATTGCTAACAGCACCCGAAAATAGCAGAAATGATTCGAATTTTATCCCAAACTAACAGGATTCTGGCAACAACCTCCTCAGTGGCTTGCGGTGTTAACCCAATCAGAATGGCGTCTGGAAGATACGAAGAAGCCGTTCGACTTCTCAACAGTCTGCAGTCGAATGCGGCGACGATCAAAAAGCTGCGGACACAGAGGGATCATCTGCAGACTATGAACCTGCCTCAGTGCCGCAAATATCTTGAATCGATGCGAATTTCGATGAAAGATGTGGACAACTTGAACATAATCCATGTGAGTGGCACAAAGGGAAAAGGAAGTACGTGTGCGTACGCGGAAGCGATCCTCAGACAGCAGGGACTCAAGACAGGGCTGTACACGTCTCCGCATCTCGTTCATGTCAGAGAACGCATCCGAATAAACGGAGAGCCTGTTGACGAGAAGACTTTCGCTGAGGAGTTTTTCCATGGTAATTCGTAGACTAAGTACCCCGTTATATCTGATTTTCAGTGTATGATATCATGAAGAAGGAACACATTGAGAACATGCCAGCGTACTTCAAGTTCCTGACGCTTCTCGCATTCCGAATATTTGTAAAGTCCAAGATTGAAGTCGTGATTCTCGAAGTGGGAATCGGCGGCGAGTATGACTGCACGAACGTAATCGAACATCCGATTGTATGCGGAGTGACCACTCTCGACTACGACCACATCTCGATTCTCGGGTCGAAACTGTCCGAAATCGCGTGGCACAAGTCTGGAATCTTCAAGAAAGACGTTCCCGCTGTCTATTCGCCCACGAGTTCTGAAGCAGAAGAGGTTCGTTTGGAATAGTTACTGATAATTCGTAAAACAATTGTCTCAGGTTCTAATTTCCCGAGCAGCTTCAAAAGGCGCCCCACTCACAGAAGCGCCGCCAATTCACGTCTACTCTTTAGCCCGTTCTATCATTCTCGGAATCAGTGGTCAACATCAGTACGCCAACGTATCTCTCGCACTTCAACTCGTTCACATTTGGGCGGACAAATGCCATTTTTCACTTCCCGGTGTCTCTGTCCGTGATCCTTCCACTGGCGGATTCACCGTTCCTTCCTGGATGTGCGATGCCATCGAATCGTGTCGTTGGCCCGGAAGAAGTCAGGTCGTGCGGACTGACCGGAACATAACCTATCTTCTCGACGGAGCACATACTCCGAAAAGTATGGAAGCCTGTGTGCGCTGGGCGGGAAAAGAGCTCGAAACACTCGGAAAGAAGGATGTCAAGAAGATCGTGTTGTTCCAGTGCACGGCGGATAGATGCCCATCAACACTGATACAGTACTTGAAGGTACGGAAACTGTGAATGTTTGTTATAATTTTCTTGCTTTCCAGCCCCTCGACATCTCTCAAATCGTCTCGTGCCCCACACAACTCTTCGCCAGCGTCGATCGATCAGCGGATTCCACGAATCTGAACGCCTCCCGGGACGAGCAAATGGAGAAGGCGAAACAGTGCGTGGCATCGTGGAAAGAGTCCATCGATCACGCAGTCGACGAAGATCAGATGCAAGTGTTCGACTGCATCTCATCCGCCTACGAGTTCATCGAAGCGCAAGCAGCTTCGCAGGAAATCTGCGTCGTTGTCACCGGAAGTCTCCATCTCGTTGGAGGCGTTCTCAACCTGATTCAGAGCCAACACAATCCGAAAGTCGTTTGATTTTGTTATCTAATTTATGATTTCTTTTTTGTTTTTTTTTCGTGTACATTCCGTCGTGGGTCTTTCTAGTGCTCTAACCGTTTTCTGCCAAATTCTCTTACTCGGTCTGTCATCTGTGTTGCCCTTCCCAAATACTTGTTCTTTTTTCGCTTGCTCAAATTATGAAGTTGTTAATTTTGATTATGAATTCAAAATACACTCTAGAAGCCGTCTGAAAGTCGTGAGAGTATCTGCCACAGAAATAATGAAGTTAAAAGAAGGGAAATCCGCAGAATGCTCCGCCAATGGTGGCTCCGCGGAGCAAGATCAGTGCTTCCGCGGGCGCATTCCACGTGCTCGTCGTCCGTCGAAAAACCGAGAAGAATTCCGAAAGACGGCCTCCAATTGTCAGATTTCATTCGCGAAAGCGGCAGAAAACAGCGTCAGAAAGCGATTATTCCGTCAGTTGAAGACACGAAAGAATACTTGAATCCAGAAGATTTGAAAGGAAACGGAAGGACAGGTTGATTGTTTTCTCAGGCGGAACGAAGGGCATCAAATGAATTTCAGTGTGCTACGTGACGTATGGATGCCAAATGAACGTCAGCGATATGGAAATCGTCCGTTCGATAATGACAGGGTACGGATTCGTTGAAACAGAACGGAGAGAAAAAGCAGATGTTGTGCTTCTGATGACGTGTTCGATTAGAGACGGCGCCGAGAAAAAGGTGTGGAATCAGCTGAAGCTGATCCGTTCGAACTCGGTGAACAGGGGACAGATCGTCGGAGTGCTGGGTAAGTTTTAAAATATAATCCGGAGGAAAGCGACTAGAATTGAAGGTTGCATGGCCGAAAGAGTCCGACACGACCTGCTGGCCAAACGGAATCTGGTGAATCTCGTGGCCGGCCCGGATTCGTATCGAGATCTTCCCCGTCTTGTCGCGGTCGCCGCGGGGGGCTCGAATGCCATCAATGTGCAGTTGTCGCTCGACGAAACTTACGCGGATGTCCAACCGATTCGAACGGATTCGGCGTCCAAAACTGCATTTATGTGAGTACATTTACGATTTTTCTCTTCTTATTCCAACCTTAAACTTTCCAGTTCGATCATGCGTGGATGCGACAACATGTGCACGTATTGCGTGGTTCCATTCACACGTGGACGGGAGAGAAGTCGACCGATCCAATCGATTGTGGAAGAAGTGAAGAGACTGCGGGAGGAGGGGTTCAAACAGATCACACTGCTCGGCCAGAACGTGAACAGCTACCGCGACGTGTCTTCTCTCGATTTCTCGATGTCTCCATCAACTTCTCAGGATAGAGTTCCCGGATTCAAAACGGTTTACAAGTGGGTGATCCGTCGACCAGTAATCGTTACAGTAATCGTCTATTCTGATTTTCAGACCGAAGAGCGGTGGTCTCACATTCACAACTCTTCTAGAAAAGGTGTCCGAAGCAGCTCCAGACGTCCGCTTCCGTTTCACTTCGCCGCATCCGAAAGACTTTCCAATGCCCGTAATACATTATCCCGTAGTTCTCTTCCTTCTGGATTATAATATTCGCAGCTCATCGAACTCATCTCCTCTCGTCCGAATCTCTGCAAACAACTGCATCTTCCCGCCCAAAGTGGAGACGATCAAACGTTGGAAAGGATGGGAAGGGGCTACTCGAGAGAACTGTACCTCCGACTTGTCGATGACATCCGAAACATTCTTCCAGGTACTCACAACTCCAACCATAGAATTGCTCTTATTTCCTTCAGATGTCTCATTAACGAGCGACTTTATCGCGGGGTTCTGCGGAGAGACCGAAGAAGCCCATCAGAACACCCTTTCGCTCATTCGTGCCGTTCGTTACTCCTTCTGCTTCGTTTTCCCGTACAGTATGCGTGGAGTCAGTTCTCTTTCGAATCCTTCCGTTCCCAATCTCCGTTTGTTCAGAAGACGAGAGCCCATCATCGGCTGACGGATGACGTTCCGGAAGAAGTGAAGGCGCGAAGACACCTCGATCTGACGACGGTCTTCAGAGAAGAAGCCCTCCGACTTAATGAAAAACTGATTGGATCCGAACAAATTGTTCTTTTGGAAGGAGTAGGAAACAGATAAACAGAACAAATAAGGAACTTAATACTTCAGAAGTCAAGGAGGAATCCGGAATATTCGCATGGTCGCACAGACGGAGGAGTCAAAGCAGTGTTCGACAATTCCGAACTTCGATTGGAGCCTGGACAGTACGGAAGAGTGATCATCACTGGAGCTAACTCTCAAACGCTGCAAGCC